ATTCCTCCTTGGTAGAAGTGACATATATCACTTCCAGGCAGAGGCTTTAGGAGCAAGTTGTCCCTGCCTTGGGAACTGGTGACATTCCAAATGGTGGTGGCTCTGTAGCCTTCAGTGAAGACCACATGTTGCGGAGTACCCAGTGTCCTGAGATGGACATACAGTGTCCATCAATCACTGAGCCACTAAGATTTGGGAATGCTTGATACTGTAGTATATATAAGCCAGCCTAGCTGGATGGAGGCAGTTGCTATGTGTTGGAATCGACTTGATGGCAACGGGTTTTTTTAAGGATCGGGAAGAAGTTAATACATTGCTCACCAACTAAAGTAACTATCCATTTTGTCAGCCATTTTTGTTAACATCTATTTAGTGCCATTCACTGTTCTAGGTGCTAGGAACACAGCAATGAACAAAATAATCTCCTCTTTTCTCAGTAAACTTCTTCATATTCTTTACCAACTACTTAGGGTCTCCTTTTCTATGAAGCCTTCCTGTATCCTCCAGGCAGCTGGTCACTCCTTTCTCGTTTGTGCTCCTATGACACTTTGAACATACCTTCATTATGAAACTAATTCATCCAAGTATTATGATTATTTATTCTATTTCTGTCTTGTTTTGATTACCTAGAAAACAGACGTTTTATGTATAATACATATTTATTTAAAGTAGTTAAAATCGTATAAAACATAGAAAAAACAAGTTATACATTATTTATAATGATGTAAGATTACAAATGCTTTGTGTCATCCCTTTACTCTTCGCAGCATTCCCCAGCACTTCAAAAAATGAGGCTTCCCATAAGGCCTCTTTCCTGAATGCGATTTGTGATTAAAATGTGAACTTTCATATTTTGGATATGTTCTCCAAATGCCTTTGCTCAGTGAATTAAAAATTTTAAGATCATCACTAATAGGTAGAGCAGGTATATCCTGAATTATCTGGGCAGAAATACGAATGGAGGGGGGGTGGAGGAAAGAGCTATTAACTTGACCTAACAACCTATTAACTTGTCCCTCTGCCTCTCTTATTAACTATAACTACTCTATGCTTATACCAGTGTTTCCCAATCTTTTTCATTATCACCCCCTCCCAGGAGTCTTTTTAGACTTCTTTTTTTTTTTGTAATTGCCCCCAATGAAATTTTAATACCATACATACACTCCATATCTGTTTATATAGTGTGTGTATGTATTTCTGTGCTTTATCAAAAAAAAAAAAGCAATCCGGGAGTAAGATTTTTTGCATCCCAAGAACCAATTTTCTTGGTTAAGAATGCATGCCTTAAACTAACATTTGTAAAAGGTAAACTTTCTTTTTTCAGGGAGAGCATTTCTATGTCAGTAAGCTAAGTTTAGCAATATTGAATCAGAACTCTGTTGTCTAATACACCTGTGCTTTTATAATACCTTTACTTGAAGCTGATTATTATTTAAATAAGTATGCTAAAAGTGTATTGAGATTGAATGAAATAAGATATATTAGATCAGGTTCCTCAGCCTCAGCACTATTGACATTTTGGGCTGGATAATTCTTTGTTGTGAGGGGAGGAGGACTTGTGCATTGTAGAATGTTTAGCAGCATCTTGGCCTTTCTACCCACTACATGTCAGAATCTCCCCGCCCCCCATACCACCCCCACAGATGGAACAACCAGAATGTCTCCAGACATTGTCAAATGTTACCTGGGGGGCAAAGTTGTCCCTGGTTAAGAACCACTGGTCTAGGTGTATAGAACAGTGTCAGAGGCATAGAAAGCTTAGGTTTCATAATGATAATAGTAATAGTACTAATGATGGTAGTACTCTTGTTGCAATCTTGTGATTTCTACATCTATGCCAGGATAAAATCCATATAAAGGGTAAGAGTAAAAAGACCTAGCCTTTAAAAAACTGAAAGAAGCAGAGACTCAAACAATAGACTTGAACACCAGTGTTCATTATAGCACTATTCACACTACCCAAAAGGTGGAAACAACCTAAGTGCCCATCAGTAGATGAATGGATAAACAAAATGTGGTACATACATACAACGGAATACTACTCAGCCAGTAGGAGAAATGAAGTCTTGATACGTATTGCAATATGGATAGAGCTGGAAGACATTTTGCTGAGTGAAATAAGTTAATCATAAAAGGACAAATATTGTATGATCTCACTTATATAAAAAGACAAGAAAGGGCAAATTTATAGAAAACAAAGTTTATTAGTGGTTACCAGGGGCGGGAGGGAAGGGAAAAGATAGGGGTTAACGGTGATGGAAATATTGCATTGATTAAGGGTAGGGTTGTATAACTGATCCTTGTAATTGCTGTCAATAAGTTGTACACCTATAAGAAGTTGAATTGACAAAACTTGTGTGATAAATATATTTACAACAATGACAAAAAAAAAGAGAAGAATAGCTGCTGAGGCTGGTTATGTACAACCAAACACCTCATGGGATTTGGTTTCTTGGTTTAGAGGTTTAGGTTCATGATTTCATGGGACATCCCAGTTAACTGGCCTAGTAACATGTTCAGTGCTTCTGTTCTACCTCCTCATTTGTTGCTTAGTGCCTGGGGTATTAAAAACTTGCAAGCAGCCATCCAAGGCACAACAACTGGTCTCTGTTCACCCAGAGCAACAGAAGAAGGAGCGTCACGAATAGAAGGAGGATATGGAATGTATTGGTGATTGCCTCCTTTTCTGTGAGACTGGAGGAACTGGATATTGCCCAGTTACCATTACTGAACATTTTGATCGTAGATTCTATAGAAGAATTCTGATGAAAACGGGGAAAATGCAGGACAGAGTGTCAAATTCTCATGGACTCCAGACTTCCTGGAGCCATGGAGGCTGGATGAACCCCCGAAACTATTGCCCTGAGATAATCTCTGAACCAAAAATACCCCCTGAAGTCTTCTTAAAACCAAACAATAGTTTAGCTTAACTAGGAAAAAATGTCTGCCTTGAGCTTTATGCTCTTTTAAGAACTATTTATATGGGATCAAATTGACAATAGCGATTTGAAAGATTAGATTGGAACCTTAGGGAACAGTGAATTTATGTTAATGGGGGAACAACTCAGAAAAGGACAGTTGAGCATGGTTGCACAACTCAAAGAATACAGTCAGTGTCACTAGATGGTACTTGTGAAAATGTTGAATTGTTGTGTGTTCTCCTGTATATATTCTCAACAACAACAACAAAATAAATAAAATTAACCAAAAGAAAAGAGATATAAGAAATCTTTAGATTTTCAAATAAGGAAGGAGTTTCCAAGCTCGAAAGCAGTGGCACTTTTGTGATGTTTAACTTAGGATTTAAGTCACATTGGAGAATTTTCTTCCTCGATAGATTTTATTACATTAAAAATAAACAGACATTCACAATCAGTAAAAACTTTGTAGTTATAATTAAAAATAAGCTGGATAAAACAACTGTGAGAAATATTACATAAAGTGGTATTAAAAAGACTGATGTAAGTCACAGAGAAAACTAAAAATTCCCCATAGATAAGGATGACGGGAGAAGTAGGGTCAGCTTATAAACATTTGAAAATTGTTCAAATCCAATAATTAAAAATGTTTTATTTTTTTCTTCATTTAAATCGGCAAAGAATTTAATTCAAACAGTATCCAATTCTGCTGTACAGTTAGAGGAGCCTTCTTACTCATTCTTTGTAGGACAACTCCCCTGGAAAGAAAGTTGGTTTTAATTGTCATACCTTTTGGCCCCCAGAAATAATATTTGGGAATAATTCCTACAGCATAATCTGAAATGTAGAAAAATATTTATCCATGATGATGTTTATTCCAGTGTTGCTTTAATAGAGAAATACTGGAAACCAGCTAAGTGTCCAGCATTAAAGGAATGGAGAATTATAGTATATGGTAAATAATCTGCATCTTTTATTGCAATGTTTACAAAATGTTTTTAATGCCATGGAAAATTCTAATAGTGTGAAATGAAAAAAGCCATTTTTAAAATTGGGTGTGCAGTATGAACTCAGAATATAGACTGGAAGGAAATATACAAATGAATAGTATTTGCTTCTGGGAGATTAGGTTATGGATAATTTATGAAAGTTACTCATAATTATATGATAAATCATTCTGTAGCAGACTTACGCTTTTTTCGTTTTTACCCTGTTCTCTTAGGTGATTTTTAGATCTCACACATTTCTTTTTCCTTTTTTAGCCAATCACTTTTTTTTAAATTGTGCTTAGGTGAGATCGTATACGTTTCTGTAAAACCAAAAAAACAAACCCATTGCCATCAAGTCGATTCCAACTCATAGTGACCCTATAGGACTGCCCCGTAGGGTTTCCAAGGAGCAGCTGGTGGATTTGAACTGCCAACCTTTTAGTTAGCAGCCAAATGCTTAACCACTGTACCACCAGGGCTCTTATGTTTCTATATCCTGTAAAATAAGACAAAATATTTTTTAAAATTTGTTTGGTTCATTTTTTTCCTTTTTCTATTGTGACATACTTTATATACCATAAAATTCATACTGTACAATTGAGTGGGTTTTAGTATATTAAGGAAGTTGTACAACCATCACCACTATCTAATTCCAGAACATCTTCATGACCCCAAAAAGAAACCTTGTACCCATTAGTAGTTGTGCCCTATTACCCACCCCCTTTTATCCTCTGGCAACCACTAATCTTTCTGTCTCTATGGATTTGCCTCTTCTGGCATCTGGTTCATTTTTATATCTTCTATTTCTCTTATTTTAATATTTCCAAGACAAAATATTTTCAGCTATGTTTCTCTGAATAGGAGAAAGCAAAATGCAATGTCAGTGTCTTAAAATGCAGCTTTATATTTTGAGAGATTCCTTATAAATTGCAGTATGAAACCACTTTTTGGGGGTAGACTGCTTGCCTGGATGAAGTAAATTAATATTTGTTTTTATACTGTGTCACTATTTCTGCTGATTAATTTTAAAAAATATATTGTAATGTGTTTCTTGAGGAAAGATTTTTTTAAATGTTCATTTTTGTATTTATAGTATGTGCAGAAACCTATAATCCTGATGAAGAAGAAGATGATACAGAGTCCAGGGTACGTAATTTACTGAATAAATTAATTTTAAATTGATGCTGCTGTATTGTATAAGAGAAATGATAATAGAAAAGATGTAAACAGGCATATGGATTAACAGGAGACATAATGGAATTATTTTGACTATTTCTTCCCCTTGTCTTATCTCTGAAAGCCTACTTCTACTTGAAGTTCTGTAGAGTTACTTTTATCCAAAGAGTATCTCTTTGCCATCTTGTGAGGCCTCTGGGAAGGAGTCTGTTTTTGGAGACTAGGAGTGTCTCTTTTTAGATAAAAAAGAAAGATGAACATAAAAGCTCACTGTAGTTGTGGTTTTATTTCTTTCACAAAATACAGCCAGGTGATGAAAAGTGTTTGTAGTTGTTTTCCTCAATGATGACATTATTTTTCTAAGACAGTATTTCCACTAAAGAAGAATACTGGGAAAGGCCTTCTGTTTCTACTAATTTATAACAACAAAAGCTTACTCTGAAACAAACAAATCACAGTAAAATTACATATAAGTGTTAGTACAGTAGTTATTAGGTTAGTTTTTAAATCTGTGAGTATGAGTTTGCTCAGAAAATGATTTCTTAGAGGCCCTAATGAATGTTTTTGTACGACTTGGTGCAGTGTCACTTGACGCCGTTTTCAAGCTTGTCCTTTAGCTCAGTTCTTGTATTTATTCAGTAAAAAGTAAACTAAGAGATTATTGTGCCTGGAGATGGAAAATAATCATTTACCCCTTTTTTTTGTTTGTTTGTTTTTGAGTACTGCTATGGATTGAGTTGTGTCCCCAAAAAATATGTGTTGTAAATGCTAACCTTTTTATGCCCATGGTTATAATCCCATTTGGGAATGGGTTGTCTTTGTTATGCTAAGTAGGTAGGATTAATGTAGGGTATGTCTTGAGTCGATCTCTTTGGAGATATAAAAGAGATTAAACAAGCTAGAAAGCAGAGATGGGAAAGGATAGATGCCTTGCCACATGAAGATCACCAAGAAGCCAAGGAATAACAACCTTCTCCCAGAGCCAACAGAGAGAAAGTCTTTCCCTAGAGCCAATGCCTTAAATTCAGACTTCTAGCCTCCTCAACTATGAGAAAATAAATTTATGTTTATTAAAGCCACCCATTTGTGGTATTTCTCTTACAGCAGCACTGGATAACTAAGACAAGTACATAGTTTGCAAAAGTCCCCCTTTTTTTCTTCTAAAAAATAAATAAACAATAAACAGATTTCTGTGGTTCTGAAAAAATATTTAAATAAGAGTGAGTTTTAATGTGGAAAGGCAGGTGCTATATCCCTAAGTCACTGCATCATTAAGCTCCCTTAAATATATCTAAAATCCAGTGGTAAAAGAAAAGAGTGTTATGACGCAGAAGATCTTAAAGGAGATCCCATTTCACCCCTGAACCCATGGAGACTCCCAGCACCATGGCTGTGGGAGCTAATTTCTCACTTCTTCTTGTTGTTAGGTGCTGATGAGTCAGTTCCAAACTCATAGCAACCCTATGCGCAGCAGAATGAAACACTGCCCAGTCTTGCGCCATCCTCACAGTCTTTCCTGTGCTTGAGACCATTGTTGCAGCCATTATGTCAATACATCTCACTGAGGGTCTTCTTCTTTTTCACTGACCCTCTACGTTGCCAAGCATGATGTCCTTCTCCAGAGACTGGTCCCTCCTGATAAAATGTCCAAAGTACGTGAGATGAAGTCTCACCATCCTCCCTTGGAAGGAAAATTCTGGCTGTGCTTACTACCAGAATTTAAATTCTTTTGATGAAGTTCACAAATCCCAACCTCTGTTCTTCATACCTCACTGAAAATTCTTTTACCTTAAGAGCAAGATATCTTTACTAATGTGTGGCATGTTGTTACTACTCCGTGTGGTCTGAAAAACTAGACCCCGCATATCGTACTTTATGTATCTAGCAGCTACTACAATGGGCAACATTTAAAAATTACATACATTCTTTATATTTGTGTGTATATTTATATAATAACAATACTTCGTAATTTAGATGGGTTGGATGTGCCAGTTTAACTCAGTAAAAATAAAAATCAAAGAATATTTGAAAATACGATTTGAAAACAATATACAGTAACTCTTAAACTCAAAAACTGTTAGGCCTTGAAAGGAATTTTAGATACCATTTGTCCATAAGGTAGGTAAATGATTTGACTGGGTTACTCGAACTAATTTTTAAGTTTTGTTAGGGAAGCTATACCAGTTAAGATTCGTTTGAGTGTATGGTTTTGCAGCAGGACAGCCAAGTTCTTATTTCAGCCTTAGGCAAGTCATAAGCATCCATTTTTTCCACCAGTAAAACTGAAATATTAGTATCTCTCTTGTACGGGTTAGGGTAAAAGAAGAAAGAGAGATAACACAAAATATGGTGTTATCCTAGGTACTCAATTAATGAAAAATATTATCATTAATGTTATCCCTTCCATATCAATTCTAGCTATACTATAACCACCTTCCTTACACCTAAGGCCAGAAGAGACAGAATAAGGAAGGGAAGATTCATGCTTCCCAGAAGAGTCTGATGCACTGCTCAGAAAAAAATTTAGTCCTTAGAGTTAAAAAATGACCCAAGCCTTAGCTAGCAGGCAGGAGCCAGCCCATCTCTGGGGCGCAGGACTTAAAAGTATAGTCTTTGAAAAGGGCACAGCTATCTACTAATTATCCTTTTTGCCGTGTCTCTCACTTCAGAATTCCAGTTTCCCAGGAGAGTTTCTGAAAGACCCAGCTTTGGCTGGGTGGGGAAGTGGGGGCAGGGTCAAGAAGTCCAAACTTGCCTCCTGGGAAACCACGCCTATAAATGAGGGCAGTTGCTAGAGAAGGAGGAATCTTTGCAGGTGGGTGTTCACCCCAGGAGTTATCCCCTGCAGCATCCTTCTAGATATATATTTTTTAAAATAATTTATTTTATTTGTTGTTGACAATATGCACAGAAGAACATATACCAATTCACCAATTTCTACATGGACAATTCAGTGACATTGATTGTATTCTTCAACTTGTGCAACCATTCTCACCCCCCTTATCCTAATTGTTCCTTCTTCATTAACATAAACTCACTGCCCCCTAAGTTTCTTATCTAATCTTTCAAGTTACTCTTCTGGATATTTTTGATGGATGTTTTTGTAATTACTGTATTAATTATATGTTAATAATTATAATAAAGTGCTTTAGATTCTCAATTAGAGGTTGAGTATTCTCTCCTATAAACACGTTATTAGAAACTGTACTGTTTTTTGTCTTAGAAACTGTAAGGCAAACTGCACCACAGCTCTTGGGAATGATTATTATAGATTTCAGAATTAATTCGATTGAAACTGATATTCAAAAATGTCTGTGAGGAAAATGTATACTGTATTTTGATAAGGTAACATTTCATTTGGGCGTTTTATATTATTTTTTGGAAGCTATGTATCACAAAATTCTTAATCTCTTAGACTAGTACAAATAGGAATTTATTAGCTGATATGAATTCAAAGAAAATTTAAGTACTTAAAACTCATTTTGGAAAAATAACAAATTGAATTTTAGTTGGAATCCTTTAACATGTAGAAGCTGGTAAAGAAGAGCTGACAGATTTAAAAATGGAGCCTTTCTTTGTTCTATTACTGCATAAAAGTTTTTTTGGAGTGCCTTCTGCATATCCGGCCCTGTACTAGGTGTTAGATATACAGTGGTGAGCAAAATGGACAAATCCTTGTTCTCATGGAGCTTAGAGACTAGTGGCAGAGGCCGACAACAAGCAAGTAAATTAATGAATAATTAGAAGATTGTTGTTCTTGTTGTGTACTTTTGAATTGATTCTGCCTCATAGTGATCCTGTAGAACAGAGTAGAGCTGCCACATAGGGTTTCCAAGGCTTTAATCTTTATGGAAGCAGATTACCAGGTCTTTTCTCCCTTGGAGTGCGCAAGTGGGTTCAAACCGCTAGCCTTTCGGTTAACAGCCTAGTGCTTAACCATTGCACCACTAGGGCTCGTTAATTACAAAATATGAAGTACTAACAGGACAGTGAAACAAGATGTGGGAATTAAAGCAAAACTCCAAAAAATCAAGGTTCCCTAATAATATGTATATGTAGATGGTTGGAGAAGTCTCCTTGAGTTGAGACCAGAAGGATGGGCATGCATTCAGGCTTGCCTAAAGGCTGTCCGATGGGGAGGAGCTCAGGAGCTTGAGGTTCTGAGTGAAGACAGGTGTGTGTGGGCTGTCTGGCCTAGGTGAGGATGGAGATGGAAGGAGTGGGGACTGAATTCTCAGTAAGTGTGATGGAATCCATTGAGGGTTTAAGCTGAAGAATGAGTGTTCTGATTTAAGTTTTAAAAAGATTACTTTCAGCTCTGTGGAAAATAGATTGGACAAATATACAGATTTCTCTTGCTTAACAAAATAGATATATTTTCTTTAAATAAGTAAATCTTACTTAATCCATTTTCTCATTTTCTTGATTGAAAGGCAGCAGAGTTTAGTAGTTTAGAGTGGAGTCAGCAAACTTCTGTAAAGGGCTAGACAATAAATATTTTAGGCTTTTTGTGCTGTACAGTCTCTGTTGCAACTACTCAGCTGTGCTGTTGTAGCTTGTAAGCAGCCATAAATAATATATAAATAAATGAGCATGACTGTGTTCCCATAAAACTTTATTTATGGACACTGGGACATTATAATTTTCACGTGTCACAAAATATTGTTGATTTTCTTTTATAGTCATTAAGAAAATATAAAACCACTCTTAGATCGGGGCCATACATAAACAGATAATGGCCCACAGGTCATAGTTCGCTACTTCTCGGTTTAGAGTATAAACTCTTTACCCAGCCTGCCTGGGATGAATCCCAGCTCTGCAGCTTATGAACTGTGTGCTATTGGAGAAGTTACTTCGCTGGGTTCGTTTTCTTGAGTCTAAATTGGCACCTTATTCATTGGTCTATAACTAGGATAAAATGAGTTAATATTTGTAAAGACCTTAAAATAGTACCCGGCACACAGTAAATGCTAAATAAATGTTTAATAAATAAGATTTGTATCCTGAAATCAGAGATAAATTTTAATGAAAAACAGTGGCCTCTAGTATAATAAAAATCACACTTGGGTATATTGCTGCAGCTTTGGTTATCCAGAAGCGGAGCTCTCTCATCCAGAGGCAGGATCATGCCAAGTCCATCAGAAAAAAAAAAGTCTTTAGAAGTGGGAGAGCATTTAAGAATTTGCTTGCTTCTAGAGACTTTATCTAGTTTCAGAGGAAAGAACTACACCCTGAGAGAGTGTTAATATACTCAGTAGAAACAGAATAAAGGCAGTCTCTTAGATTTCTGGCATAGCTGTTGCAACCTGTGTCTTTTTGCACTCTTTCCACTGGCTAGGAGCTTTGGAGTCTTTCCAGCCAGTCATAGACCTTTGCATAATGAACTTGCTAACACCTTGGTAAAAAAAAAATAGTCGGTGCTATGTTGATGAATGTATACTATCCCCTTTAGACAAATTGTATTACTTTCCCCCACTTAGTGGCCTGATAGTTATATGGTAATTACTAGTCACTTAAAGTGAACCTCAGCACTAGCAATTCTTTCTTCTAACATCTTGCTAATTTTTGTTAGGAGATTTTGTGCTCTATGAGAATCTGTAAAGTAACTGGTTAATGACGGTGTTTTGCTTTGTTTTTAAATTTGCTATCTTTTTAGATTATACATCCAAAAACTGATGATCAAAGAAATAGATTGCAAGAGGCTTGCAAAGACATCCTGCTGTTTAAGAACCTGGATCCGGTAAGATAAATCTTAATAATAAAAAATGATTTTTCTTCAGTGTCAGTGTCAAGAACTGTGCAGGGTCTTGGATTTTACCCTCCAAAAGGCCAGCAGTTTGAATCTACCAGGCGCTCCTTGGAAACTCAATGGGGCTGTTCTACTATGTCCCCCACTATGAGTTGGAATCGATCTGATAGCGGGTTTGGTTACAAGCTAACAAAGGAGCCCTTGTGGTGCAACGAGTAAGCACTCAGCTGCTAATTGAAAGGTTGGCAGTTCATACCCGCTCAGTGGCTTTGTGAGTGAAAGACCTGGTGATCTACTTCCGTAAAGATTACAGCCTAAAAACCCCTATGGGGCATCTCTGCTCTGTCACATTGGGTTGCTATGAATCAAAAATTGACTCAAAGGCACCTAGCAATAACACAAGCTAACAAGCTAGTTTCATGGATGCAGGCAGAAAACATGGAACTCCGGGGTCAGAAACAAAGGATTTTGTTACTCAAAGACTGAGGAAGAGCAGTAGGCAGACCTTTGTGTTGGTTTGTGTTGGTCCTCTCCCCTTCCCGCCCTGGGCGATGCAGAGGGCCCGTTGTGGATGCCTGTACACGCAGAGGTTACATTACAGGAGAGAAACACTGAGCTTGGGTGTCCACTGCCTGTAGAGCAGAGAGCAAGCAGTCCTGCCATTTGTCTGGGGGAAGACGTTATCTCATACCTCAGGGTTACTTGCTACAAACACAACCCTGAGAAATGGGCCAGGTAGAGAGAGGTTAGTGCCTTGCATTCTTGGTACACCCAGGAAGAGTGCAGGAATGCTGAGGGCCCGTGGTGAATTTCCCCTCTCAATAGCCAATAATGCCCCATGCCGTGGAGTCGATTCCAACTCATAGCGACCCTATAGGACAGAGTAGAACTGCCCCATAGGGTTTCCAAGGAGTGGCTGGTGGATTCGAACTGCTGACTTTTCAATTAGCAGCCAAGCTCTTAACCGCTGTACCACCAGGGGCTCCTTAACCAATAATAGTAATTATATTTTAATGTCTACCTTGTATATTACACGTATTTTAAAAGTAACATTTACTTGGCTTTAAAGGTGAGGGGATATTTTGTTCTTTTAAGGATTTGGAAATCTCTAATCTTTAGTTTTGAGTGTATTTCTTGAATGTCCTCTGTCAGTATGAGTGAGCATGCCGTTTAGAAGTTGCTCTGCACTCTGACCTAAATCTTCGACTTCCTTTGTCACAGATTATGCTTGTTCATTGCTAAACAGCCATTTGGGAAAGAACCCCTGCTGCCATGTTCTGAATGTGAAAACTGAGTCAGCTTTTGTAACTTACCCCAACTTCTCTTTTGGTTCAAACTCAGCATCTTACAGTTTTCAGATTGATGTCCTAGGGAAGGAAGTATTAAGTCAAGACCTACTGTTTTTAAGCTGGTGGATTCAAACTGCTGACCTTTTGGTTAGCAGCTAAGCTCTTAACCACTGTGTCACCAGGGCTCCTTTTTAAGATGAAGTCTCCTATAAAAGGACAATTTGTAAAGCTAGAGGTACTGCATCATTTCATGTCTTCTATACTTAGTCATATTTATACCCTGAAATATTTTTAAAATCTCCTTTGTTTCTAATATTACTTATGTTTATATTGTGATCTCCAGGAACAGGGATTACATTTTGTGACTTTGGAGATCTTGTTTTAGGACCACATATTACAAATCTGTGTGTCCATCTCTGAGTCCAGATTACTGGCTCTGACAGGCCTGTCTGAACTGATCATACCAAAGATCTGTTAGCCACTTCATTCATTTATCCATTCTCTTGAGGGCAGGGATTATGCCACTCAAGGCTCTATAAACGTACTGTTGTTGTTGTTAGTTGCTGTTGAGTTGATTCTGACTCATGGCGACCCCATGTGTGCAGAATAGAATTGCTCCACAGGGTTTTCAAGGCTGTGACCTTTCAAAAAGAGATCACTGGGCCTGTCTTCCCAGGCATCTCTGAGTGGGTTTGAAACCACCAACCTTTAGGCTAGTAGTCGAGTCCTTAACTGTTTATGCCACGTAGGACTCCTCCGCACATACTAGGCTCTCAATGAAAAAAAAAAAAAAAACAGAAACAAAAAACCATTGAACAAGAATAAGACTACTTTGAGTTAACCTTTAGTATTTATTTAAGTATACATATTTAATAGTAAATTATAGAATTGGATATGTTTGTTATTTGTAATAAGATAATAGTATTTATTCTAGATAATCTAGAACCCAAATCTTGTTAAGTCATACCAACCCCTTGAACGTAGTTCATCGTAGTTATACATTCACAGTGTACCTTAAGCCTATTGAGAGTGGCTCTGATATGTCTGTCTTTCTCTATCCAAGTTTATTCACTCAGTTCATTCAACCCACATTTACTGAGCACCTTCTCTGTACCAGGCATGGGGTCATTGCTGAGAAAATAAAGGCCTGGTTCAATGCCCTGGGTTGGTGTTGAGACTGTCCTGTGGATCAGATGTTCTCTACGGCAAGGCCTCTTGTCCAGTTTGATCCAGGTTCTCCAGAATTGTCACCAAGGATAATTTTTTAGACTTCTTTGACTGCTCTGCTGAAGGTCTTCAATATATATTTTAACGATGGAAGAATAACAAATGAAATAAAGATAGAAATTCAGGAGTTTAGTCTGTGAATGGGAAAATTCTCTTGAATATTAAATAGTGAAGTAAGTGACTAAAGAGAATTTGTGAAATTTTGATAGGCTTCCAAATAATCCCAAATCTCATTTATCTAGAATAGTATGTAGTTCTATGAAAATAAAGAAGGGACACCGAATCGTGTGATCTCCCACCTTTATGAGTCCAAATAATTATTATGTAAAGATACAAGTGGTGTGTGTGTTTATGTACATGTGTGTGTATCTGTATATCTATATATATATGATAGTTTTGGTATTGGGTTTAAACTAATTTAGTATTTAACTCATTTGCCTCAAATGCACACAGAAGACAGCTATAAAATTAATCCTTAGTTTTACCCCTATGGGTAGGCTTCAACCAAGGATTTTTCAGCTAGAATGTTACATGGGAAAATTTTAGAGATCAGCAAAAACAGCGCTTCTCAAGCTTTAATATGCCTGCATATGATCCAAGGATCTTGTTAAAATGCAGATTCTGATTCATTAGGTCTGGGGTAGGGCTGAGAGTCTGCATTTCTCACAAGCTTCCAGGTGCTGTCGGTGCTGTTGGTTGACAACCATACTTGAGTAGCAAGGATGAGAGCCAGAAGTTTGGTACTACCATATGTTATTTGGTTTGTATACTTTCCTATTGAATTGAACCAGTATTTTAATGCTTCAGGAGTGACTAAACAGTGATAATCTGTTGTCTATGCACTAAGTAATTAATAGGCATGAGTGATGAATGAAATAGTTGCTAGTTATACTTTCCTGGGATGCTGCTTATTCTAGTCCATCCTCTACATTAAATTGATTTTCTTTGCCATCTCAACTTTAACTATTTTAAAGCATTGTGATAATTTGGTTGCATTTAAACTATTAAAAAACTTTCGTTAGTATACTCTGGCATGGAGTATTTTTGCTTAATTAAAGTGATTCTTTTAAAATATATAAACATGAATTTTTTTTAGACTTCTTTCACTGCTCTTCTGAAGATCTTCAATATATATTTTAAAAACCAGTGTACAGGGAAAAAAAGAAAAAGCTAGTTTATGAATTACCAATTGAAGGAGAGAAAATTTAGATATTTTCCATTATTGAATGTTTTATTGGGAAGAAGAAGCAAACATATTTACATAGTTGTTTCTAAAACATCTTTTATGGCATTTGAGGGGAAAAAAAAAGCTTATCTCAAATTCTTTTAGAAATGACACAGGGTATATACATAAGTAAAAATTTATTTTTTTCAACAAATTATCACTTGTAATAGAAATTTATCCCCATACATGGCAGATTGAAAGTTTTAGGTTACATTCATATTTTATGCAACCTTCTGATTTTTTTTATGGTGTACATTTTTGACAAGAACTCTGAATGCATTTTAATTGAATTACATATTCAACTCGGATTATTTCCTTATAGCATATGGCAGCTCCTTTCAGCTCAGTTTCTTGACTACCCGCTACATTCCAAGGCATATGTAAAGTTTTGGAAGCTGCAAAGACATGGTTCTTGTCCTGGAATTTTAATTTAATGAGAGATATAAGCACATACACAAAGCATTTCAGTAAAACTTGTTAAGTGCTATTTGGTCAGGGTACTGTGAGAGTATGAGGGTCTCTTAGTCTAACCTGAGGATTCAGGAAGCTGGAGAGGCCACCTGAGCTGAGCCTCAGAAAATGAGTGGAGCTCACCAGTGGAAGAAAAGTAGTGTTATCACTAGAGCTTGAAGTGGAAGACATCTGGTGGGTGGGAGCTAAGATATGAATGCTGCCTCCTGGAAAGCCTTTCTCCAGTGTCAAACTGTAGCATTAGGCAAATCCTACAGGCTAAGTAGAGAAGAAGGAGCCCTGGTGGTGTAATGGTGAAGTACTCAGCTGCTAACCAAAAGATTGGTGGTTCGAACCCACCTAGCAGTTCATCCGGAGGAAGACCTAGTGATCTGTTTTTGTAAAGATTACAGCCTAGGAGACTCTATGGGGCAGTTCCACTCTGTCACATGAGGTTACTATAACTGAACAGCAACAAGCAGAGAAGTGTAACAATTAGATTGTGATAATCCCACTTTGGTGGTGGTATAGAAGGTAAAGTGGAGAGAAAGATGGGGGAAGTGAACAAGAACAGAGAAGAGGCTCAGTTAGGAAAACATGACATGATCCAGGGAAGAGAAATGGGCCTGGACTAGGGAAGAAAGAAAAAAGATGGACAGACAGGAATGGTTTCATGAAATATTTAAACATTTGATTAACAGAACTTGGTACTTGGCGACTGATTGAATTAGGGTTTAAAGGAAAGTAACTGGGATGACTCCCATGTCTGACTGGAATAACTAACTGTAAATTTGATAGGTACCTTTTGCTATGATAGGCAAACTTGAAAGAGGAATGGGAAGCAGTAATTACTAATTAGCAAGAAGAATGTGATCTTGGCTTTGTATCTCATTTGAATTTTCTGAAGTCATTGTTTAGCTGGAAAATCTTGCACCTCCTAGGCCTCAGAACATTTTTCCTTGGAGTGCTGTATATTCATACGTTGAGCACAGCATTTACAATTATTAGTCTCTTTGAAGGTATTCTTTTCATGAATATTTTAATGCTGGACTCAGTAGGCCATTTTGCTTTCTGAAATATTTTCTAATTTGAGGCAAACTGAAATAATTTTCCTGTGCTATATGATAGGTTCTTTCATTAATACAGAGTAAACAGTTATTTTTCAAGTGAGTCAGAGTCCTTTATTGAGTCTGTCTCAAATTTGCATTCTGTAGGAGAATAATAGGTGAATTTTCTACAGTAGTTATCCATCATCATGATAAGCCTCTGCCTATTAAATATTTCCTCAGTTCTTTTCACTCTGTTCATAATTATGGGGAAATTACATTTTGATTGACTAGAACAGTCGCCTGTCACATAGAAAGGTTCTAAAAGAAATAATTGCTCTGTATTTTATTTTATCAGGAATTACTTTTTCACATATCCATATATGAATTCTTTAGGGTTTAATGTTTTAAAATGCAGCTATCCCCAAAATTTACTATAGCAGTTTTTCTCTTCTTTTCTTCCCATTTGACATTTAAGTCAGAGCTAATCAGTAAAGCTGATATTCCCCCTTCACCTACCCTAAAAGAGTTGACATATAAATAGTATGCAGAAGAAAATATTAGTAAACCATTTAATCAACCTTCAGAATTTTGAAAGGTGACCATATGTTGCCTGAGTTGATGAACTCATTTGGGTAAAGTGGTCCCCGTGGGGCCAATTAACACCACATCAAGCAAGCACTGTTTTACTGCCACGTTGGCTATAGCACCCCCCCCCCCGGCTGTTTTTCCTCATATAGGTGCCAGGGCTCACATGGGAACCCACAGAGGGGATGAAGAGTGAATGAAAACTCATTGGTGTCATTCTTCCAAAAATTTCTCCTAGTCCACATGAAGATACAACATTATGTTCTGTATTTAAAATGGAGAGTTTGATCTTTTAATAAATTAAAAAATTTAAATCAGTATGCATATACAGTTTAGAAGAATTCAAAAAGAACAGAAGAATATTCGGTGAAAAGGAAAACTCCTTTCCACCCTGTCTCCCACAACCCAGTTCCTCAGGAACCAAGTTCTTTTAGCACTATTATACCTGTCTTTCCAGGGTTATGATATGCATATACAAGTATATCCCTTTTAAAATTTTGGTGGCAGCAATCTCTACAAAGTGTATACCCTGTTTTCTTTTCTTACCGGTATTTATAGAGATTCCACATTATTTTTTAAAATTATTTTTATCAGTGTTACTTATAAAATTTTGAATTGGTACCATTTATATATTATAAAACTAAACCATGAAAATACAATAACATTTTACCATCATTCAGTATGTTAAAATTATGTATACAGCCCACTCCCCTAAAAAAAAAACCAAACCTATTGCTATCAAGTCAGTTTGACTCATGGCTATTCCATGTGTTACAGAATAGAACTGAGCTCCATAGGGTTTTCTTGGCTGTAAGCTTTATGGAGGCAGATCACCAAGCCTTTCTTTCACGGTGCTGCTGGGTGGGTTTAAACTGCCAACCTTTCAGTTAGTAGTTGAGCACAACCCACTTGCGCCACCCAGGGACCGGGTATATATAACAAACCAAAAACCAAACCAAACCGACTGCCGTCCTGTTAATTCTAACTCATAGCGACCCTGTAGGACAGAGTAGACTTGCCCATAGGTTTCCAAGGCTGTAAATCTTCACAGAAGCAGACTGCTACATCTTTGTCCCACGGAGCAGCTCGTGGGTTTGAACTGCTGACCTTTCGGTTAGCAGCCAAGTGCTTTAACCACTGCACCACCAGGGTTCCTCTGTATATAACAGGAAGCTTCAAATAACCAAAACAGTATTGAAAAATAACAAAGAACTCACACATCTCGATTTCAAAACTTACTACAAAGCTACAGTCACAGTGTGGTACTGCCGTAAGGACAGACATATAGACCAATGGAATAGAATTGAGAGTCCAGAAATAAACCCATGCATCTTTGGCCAACTGATTTTCAACAGGTATGCCAAGACCATTCATGAGCAAAGAACAGTCTCTTCAACAAATGGTACTTTTTATTTACTTTTAAAAAAAGTCTTGGCAGTTATGTTTTTAATTTTCAAGCTATTCATTTTTCTCTGATTTGTTCTTTTTCTAAATGTCCTTTTTTGTTTGTTTCATGGATATAACATCATTTTGAATATCTCTGGGCATAGAAAGCTCTCCACTGTTCCCTGAAATATCTGTCTCATCTAGTGTTATTTTGCTGTTTATCTTAGTTTTGTAAACTACTGGAAGGGCAATAAAAAAGCTGATTTGGAGCACTGAGTAAGTGGGGCAGGTCTGTCAACTGCTGTACTGTTTAGGTTGAGCTGACAGGGAGTCAGCTGTTAGATTGGGGAACCCCTAACTGCCGCTATGTGAAGGTCTTTGTTCTTGGGCACCAGTGTTTACAATAGTTGTTCTAGTTCTAATTTTTTTAGTTTTTCCCAAGAACCTCACTCTGATCTCTTATCTGGGGAGAGTTAGGGTTGACCCGTGGCTGCTAGGCATTCTGTGTTCAGGGTAGAGGGACTTGGAAGGAAGGTATCAACTGATCCATGTAGGACTTCAGATCAGCCTACTTGTTTTCCATTCTGTGATTCACTCTAACCCCAAATGAACCAGGTGTTTCCAGGCCTGGAGCCTGTTGGTGTTCAGTAAGGCACATTGGGCCTTCCATGCTGCAGGCTACAAGCTCATGTGTGCTGCAGTGGGTGCTCATTCCACACCCTGCATTTAACTTACCTTTTCTTGGAAATCTCTCATCCATCATTGCCCCTTCCCATACTTTATATCATTATAGATTCATACTTTCATATCCCTTATAAAATTTTTTATGGGTTTTCAAAAAGAAGATAAACCACATGTGGTCTGTTTATGCTCTTGATCTGGAATATTTTGTTTCTTTAACCTGTGTTCTCCACTTGGGTCTTATTTCTTCTCTTTAATCTGTCTTCCCCTTCTTAATTTACTTATGTTCATAATTCATTTTGGCCTGGGCAGTTATTGTACCAATAGAGAGTGACTTCACTAAAGGTTCAGAGCTTACTACGTGGCAGAAGAAGTCAACCTTTAATAACTGTTAAGTCTTTCGACTTTGCTTTTTCTATTGTACCATGTTCTTTCCCTGTATCCATTTATTGTTTGTAGGTCTCTGAACTGTTTCTGTATTTGTTCTGAGAAAAGATTTATTTTACCTCTTAGTGTATTCTCATTAGCTGAAGTTTATCCGTAAGCCTTGTCAACCACACATTAGCTGAATTAAAAAAATTGTATATAGTTTTAAGTAGTCTTGAATAATAGTTACAGTGTTTCTGGCTTCAGTTTTAAAAATATCTGCTTTAGAGCAGGAAATGGTTGCTTCTTGAAGGAAACTTACAGAGGATAATAGAGTATTTTCTATAATAGTTTTTGTTTTTGTTGTTTTTCTCTTTTGTTCTGTTTTGGTTTGGGTGCTAAACCAAAACAAAGTATTGAAATCAGGATCTGAACTCAGCAAGTATTTAGGCAATCTCTACATAAATCCTAGTGTTGACTAATGTAGGGAACTTTTTAAAAATGGGACAGATGTCTTTAAAAGAAATATGAAATAATTCTTTACTAACTTGGTCATTTTAGTTGCTAAGATTATATTTCATACGGTATATGGTGGTTTGGTGGTTACTTTTTATGTTTAAAGTGGTGGTAGATGCAAATATTCTGAAATAGACTGATTATAATTACTTTCATTCAGATACTGAATATGAGAGTAAATATATAATCATCTCATTTGCGTGTTATAAGGAAGCCTGCACTATTTATTTTTTCTGACGAGACTTAATGGCAATGATGATATTTCCATTTCTTTGATTTTGTTCACAGAATATAAAGCTAATTACAATTATTTAAGAAAACATGGTCTTGATAAACAGGAGATTATGTCTTACTTTTTTAACAATAGGAGCAGATGTCTCAAGTATTAGATGCCATGTTTGAAAAATTGGTCAAAGAAGGGGAGCATGTAATTGATCAAGGTGACGATGGTGACAACTTTTATGTAATTGATAGGTAAGTTTTCCATAACCTCACTACTGAAATTTAAAGAACCTTTTGTGTAAAATGTTAATGGTTATTACAGCTAATGGAAAATTTATATGTAATAGTTGCTATTGCCTCTTTACTTTTATTACTATGAAATAGGCACTATAAACCTTCTGTGAATGAATACATGTAGTGAAACCACACCAGATCAAGGAAAGAAGCATAGTTTAGAGGGGACCTATTAGTTTTGGTTAGCTTCCTCTAGGAATCTCAGTCATTTACTGGGAGCCTCCTCATTTGCTAACTTGTATTTGAGAGTAAGTAACATTATTAGTATATCATAGATTCCTTTACAGTACAGAATAGAAGTGTAATACAAAATTGAGGATGTTTGAATCTCAGTAATTCAATCTGTGTAATTATATTTTTTTTAAAAAGTTTTTGTTTTTTAAAACTTACTATAAAAATCAAACATGCTCATGGTTTAAAAAACTTAAATACATGTATTTCAACAAGGGTATAAGGTGAAAAGTAAGTCTCTTCCTGCTGCTTCAGTCACCCAGTCAGTAGAGTGAGAAGTTATGTATCCTTCCAGAAATTGTTTATGCATTATTATATTTGTCTTTAAAATACTTTATAGAGAAATTGCTTTGTTTATGTTGAAATCTAATTTCAGAGAAAGTGCATTGTGCTTTATTTCCCTCATCAAAGAACAATGTGCCTTGAGCAATAATTAGATGAATCCTGGTGCCATAGTGGTTAAGAGCTATGGCTGCTAACCAAAAGGTCGGCAGTTCCAATCCACCCTGCTCCTTGGAAACCCTATGGGGCAGTTCTATTCTGACCTGTAGGGTTGCTATGAGTCGAAATTGACTTGATGGCACTGGGTTTAAAATGTAGTAGGGGAGCAGTCTGAAATGACTATTTTTTCACTTTTATAAAATGATGATGAAGTGTTTATAGACAGTTGGTATCATCAGCTCCTCCCATTTTGTGTGGAGTACAGATCATCTCCAAGCCTGATTTATTGGATTACATTTCTTCTCTGAATTGTGTTGAAATCAGTGGCCTTTGCTGGAAATTGCACACCTTCCATCTCCTGAGGCCTTATTTCGATCTTTGGTTTGTGAGTGGTATCTTTCATACACAAGCTGTTTGAACTGTTTTTTCTGGACTAGTGAAGGGTTTTCACCAATTCCTTCATTCCCTCATCCTTGCCGTGGTGATCTATAGACCTATTGCCAAGGCTTCAGCCAGGGCTGAGGTGTATTCAGATTTTGGAAAGAACAAAACCGGATACTGCAATTAAAGTCATGGTTTTGGTATCATTAACAGTTTTCATCAGTGAAACACCTCAGAAATTCATTCAGCTGTTCATTTGTGTTGAATTGTAGGGGAATATGAGAACTCCAAATACAATTCAGTATTCATCTTCTTTTAGTATGTATTTTGACTATAAAAAATGCCTTACATTTGTATATGGTACATTCCCTTTTCAGTTTGATGCTAATCACCCATTTGACAGATGAAAAGACTGAGGAACACAGAAGTGACACGACTTGGTTAAGGTCACTCAGTCAGTGTAGAGCTGGCCCCACAGACAGGTCTCCTGGCCTCTGCTCAGGTTCTTCACACAGCTCCACACTGCCCGAGGTCTCACATTGATCAGTAAAGAAAGCTGTATGGAAAAGCAGCACACAGATTTTAGACTGATACAATTTCAACTGGGCTGGAAACTTGTTTTAACTCTCACCTGCACGTTTGTTATATTTTATCCCATTCAAAATAGTACATTTAGTAAGCAGTTTCAGTGCAAAAGACTTCAAATAGGATAGTTTGTCTATAGTTGAAAAAAATTATTCATGAGACAAATTCTAGAAGGTAATCTTGGAATAGCCATTCTATCCATGAATTATGTTAGAAACCAATTATTCTCTTCCTTTATTCTTTTTATTTTATTTTGTTGTTGTACTTTAAGTGAAAGTTTATAATTCAAGTTAGTCTCTCATACAAAAATTTATACATACATTGTTATGTGACCCTGATTGCTCTCCGTATGCTGTGACAGCACACTCCTTCTTTCTACCCCTAATTTCCCATGTCCATTCAACCAGCTCCTAAGCCTCTCTGCCTTCTTATCTCACCTCGAGACAGGAGCTGCCCATTTAGTCTCATGTATCTACTTGAGCTAAGAAGCTTACTCTCCACGAGTATCATTTTATATCTTATAGTCCAGTCTAATCTTTGTACTTCCTTTATTCTTAATACCTTTTGTCAGTTATGTTTTTGTTATTATTATTTTGTTGCTGTTCTTTACCATTCTTAATCCTTTTCCAATCTTAAAAGCCACTCCCTTTTTTGCTAACTTTTTTTTTTTTTAAATTTTTGTCTTTGTTAGGGTTTAGCCATAGAATAAAGCCAAATAATTTCCTGTCTGCCCTCACAGGTGCATCCACAAGCCTTGAAATCATCTTTATTCTGATAAAATACAGTATGCGGAAAGACAGTCGTCCACGTGAAGAATTGTAGTTTCTATAAATATAGGGTCTAGATATTATGTAGTACAGTGACATGCAAACTGAGTTTTATATTCCTAGAAAAAGAAACCCCAACTAAAAGCACAGAAAAACTGCAGAAAGGTCAGGATCAGATATTTGTCTGAATTCCTACCACGTTTTACTTTAGATCATGGGTTGGCAAATTTTTTGTGTAAAGGGGCAGAAAGTAAATATGTTAGACATTGCAGGCTGTATAGTCTCTGTCATAGCTACTCAACTCTTGTTACTGTAGCATAAAAACAGACATTTTAAAAAAAAAAACAACAAAAAATCTGTTGCCGTCAAGTTGATTCCAACTCATAGTGACCCTATAGGAGAGAGTAGAATTGCCCCATAGGGTTTCCAAGGTGTGGCTGGTGGATTTGAACTGCCTACCTTTTGGTTGACAGCCATAGCACTCAACCACTGTGCCGCCAAGTGCTCCAGAAAAACAGCCATAGATAATGCATAAGCAAATGAGTATGTCTGTATTCCAATAAAACTTTGTATATGAAAGCAGGCAGTCAGCATGTGGGCCATAGTTTGCTGACCCCTGCTTTAGATTATAAAGTACCCTCGCAAGTACTGTAGACTAGTGGCTGACCAAATTGTTATAAACCAAAAAAAAACTCGTTGCCATTGAGTCGATTCCAAGTCATAGCGATGCTATAGGACAGAGTAGAACTGGCCCATATGGCTTCCAAGGAGTGGCTGGTGGATTCGGATTGCCGACCTTTTGGTTAGCAGACAAGCTCTTAACCACTGTACCACCAGGGCTCCCCAATTGTTACAGATACGTAATTTTTGAAGTTATTTTCATCTGATTACAAAAATAATACATGTTCATTTTAGAAACAGAACCTCTTTAACTTAGTGATCCTCCCTGGAATCCCTTATTATTCTTACCGCCAGAGATAGCCACCGTCAGTGGTTTGATATACATTCCTCCAGTAGTTGTCTATGCATATAGTATTTGGCTGTATTCTTAATTATATTCTTATCATTTATTATCTTAAATGTTTATTGTTTAGTCTGATTTTCCTAACAGAAGCCTGTATGGCCGTTACCCTAATCTAGTTGATGATCTCTTCATGCTTGTCTGGAACAGATGGTGCCTGTGACACATAATGATGCCCTTTTGTTACTTGCTGTCATCAGGGAAAAAGGAAGGCAGGAAGTAAGATTTTATTGCACAGGACCCTTCTCTGAGATAATGTGTTACTGCAATGAAATTTTGCATGAGTTACTTTTATCTTTAATTTACATATGCTCAACAGAGGAACATTTGATATTTATGTAAAATGTGATGGTGTTGGAAGATGTGTTGGTAACTACGATAATCGTGGAAGCTTTGGCGAACTGGCCTTAATGTACAATACACCCAGAGCAGCTACAATCACTGCTACCTCTCCTGGTGCTCTGTGGGGTTTGGTGAGTGAAATATTTATTTGACTTGAATGCTATTATTTTAAAAAATCATAATGACACTAGCTAATAGAATATTGTAATCTAACAGGTAGGTTTATTTAGGATCATCATTTACTGAGAATTTATTAAGCAGCTATTGGATGCTGAGTTATTGGGCACCAAGACTGTGCTGAGTTAAATCTTCATGTCCTTTTCCTCGCTCCTCCAGTCAAGTCAGGAGCTTAGGACCGTCGGCCCTGGGAGAGACACTCAGACCCAAAATGTTCCTTTCTTACCCACTTTTAAAAAACAGCTGGCCAAACGGACAGCCTTCAGTCCTGTTTTCTCAGATAGCTTTCTGTGGTGAGTATTATAATGTGACGACATCAGTGGTTCCCCAGGTGTGGTCCACTGATTAGTAACAGCTGTATCTCCTGGGAACTTGTTAGAAATGCGAATTCTGGGGCCTGCACCCCAGACCTACTTAATCAGATACCAGGGAGAGGGGACCCCAGCACTCTGTGTTTGTGCACACCCTCCCCAGTGATTCTGGTGCATACTAGTTTGAGAAACCACTTTAAACGGATTCTCTGGATGGTATAAATGATTAGCAACAATTTTGCATCTAAAAGCAGCTGTAGAGAAAAATTGCTTCATGCCTGTGCTTCTCAGCCTGGTGGCACATCAGAATTTTTTTTTTTTTTTTTTTTAAATAAAAAAACCTCTTGCCTAGGCTTCATCTGAGACCAGTTAGAACCTCTTGGGGTGGGACCTGGGCATGAGTACTTTTAAAATAAATTTATTAATGGTGATATTTCCACCAAACCTAAGTGTTGGTTTAAAGACATGTTTGGAGGAAGAAGGAGATTTGTTTCATAGATGATATCAGGATGCAAAATAGCAGGTATTTGCAAAGCTGATTCGGGAAGACTGTATTTAAGGTAGTGCTTCTCAAACTTTAATGTGCTTATGAATCACCTGAGAATTTTGTAAAAATACAGATTCTGATTCAGTGGGTCTAGGGTGGGGCCTGAGATTCTGCATTTCTCATAAGCACCCAGACGGTCCCAGTGCTGCCTGATGCTCAGACCATACTTTAAGTAGCACTGATTTAGGGTGGCATGTTTTGTTTTTTAAATTGTTAAAAACAGCTCACTCTATAGTTTTGACACACATTTATTAGGTTATTTCTCTCAAATCCTTGTATGGAAGGAAAAAGGCTAGTTTAAATCTGAAGTTTGTTAACAGTCTTGTTTCCAAGGGCTGTTGCATTAGACGTTACATGCTACTCAACCATGACTCATAGTCTGAAGTGGAGTCCGCTGATAAAAATATCTCTTCATCAGAGGAACAAGAAATGCTTTGTATTTCTTTTTTATTAGAACCAGGCGGTTATTGTATACTTATTAGAAATGTGATGAGTCACTTTTAAGTTGTAGAAGAAAAATTGGAATTGTTTCAGGTGGAAAGGAGACTTATTATCTGAAGTGTTTAAAGGACCGTCAAGAATGTGAATACCCAAAGCCAGCCAAATAAAAACTCCAAACCAGAGCAAACATGGTCCACAGCAAGTGTTTGCTTGTCATCAAAGTGGTCAAATAAATCTAGAGTGTAGTATGCCTTGTATTATTACAAAAAGTATTATTTAAAAATTTAATCATCCCATAAACAAACTATGGTACATACACACAGTGGAGTACTATGCAACGAGAAAGAACAACAATGAATCTGTGAAGCATCTCATAACATGGATGAAACTGGAGGACATTATGCTGAGTGAAATAAGTCAATCACAAAAGGACAAATATTGTATGAGACCTCTGTTGTAAAATCCCATGAAAAAGTTCACACACAAAATGTAACAATCTTTGCTGGTTACCAGGGATGGGAGGGGTGGAGGAGAAATACTAAATAGGCAATAGATAAGTGGTATCTTGGGTGAAGGGTGAGACAGTACACAACACAGGGGAAACTAGCACAACTTGTACAAGGAAAGGTCATGGAAGCCCGATAGACACATCCACACTCCCTGAGGGACTGAATTGCTGGGCGGAGGGCTCTGGGGACCATGGTCTTGGGGAACATCTAGCTCAACTGGCATGACACAGCTTATAAAGACAATGCTCTACATTCTACCTTGGTGAGTAGTGTCTGGGGTCTTAAAAGCCTGTGAGCGGCCATCTAAGATACTCCACTGGTCTCATCCCTTCGGGAGCAAGTGAGAATGAAGAGAACAGGATACGAGGAAAAGATTAGTCCGAAGGACTAATTGTCCACAGCTACCAAGGCCTCCACCGGACTGAGTCCAGTACAGCTAGATGGTGCCCGGCTACCACCACTGACTGCTCTGACCAGGATCACAACAGAGGGTTCTGGACAGAGCTGGAGAAGGATGTAGAACATAATTCTAACTCACACCAAAAAAAGGCCAGATTTACTGGCCTAAAGGAGACTGGAAAAACCCTGAGAGTATGGCCCCCAGACACCCTTTTAGCTCAGTGGTGAAGTTACCTCCGACATTCACCGTTCAGCCTGGGAGTGGACAGCCCCGTAAAACCAAATGGGACTAATGAGGTACAGGAGTCCAGTGACAAGGGCAGAAGGCAGAAGGGGACAAGGAAGCTGGTGATAGGGAACCCAAGGTTGAGTAAGGATATTGTTGATGTGTTGTGAGATTGTTAACCATTGTGATAGGGCAACATTTGTAGTAACTGTTAAATGAGAAACTATTTTGTTCTGTAAGCCTTCATCTTAAGTGAGAATGATAGCACGATTGGAAGAGCGTAGTCAACGTCACTGAGCTGTGCATGTAGAAAATTTTTGAAATGGTGTATCTTTGGCTATGTGTATTTTCACCAAAAAAAAAAGGTTGAGAAGTTAGAGGGTTGATATGTTGTGGGGCTGTTAACCAATGTCATGAAACAATATGTGTACTACTGTTTCATGAGAAACTATTTGTTCTGTAAGCCTTCACCTGAAGTACAATTAAAAAAAAAAAAATTAATCATCCCAGTGGGGTTGCCAGCCAAGGTCAGATTGTCACACAGTAAAGATGCAGGTTGGCACTTTGGAATACTGAGAGTTTTCAGCCCTGGTAGAAAACCAGTTAGGTATAAAGGCCCATTGTTTCCCAATGTGTATACTGCTTAAGCTCTTAAGAAGGATTGAGCATTTTCAGAGATGTTGACTAATCTATACATGTTACTAAGCTTTATTAAAATGGGCAGCTGTGATCATCACCTTAGGACATGTACAAAAGCAAACTTTTTTAGAAGTTAAAATAATTGATGTTTTTAAATTGTGGTAATATATTTATCACAAAAAACTGCTGTTTTAACCAGTCTTAAGTGTACAGTTCAGTGACATTAATCACATTCACCATACTGTGCAACCATCAAACCATCACCACTATACATTTCCAAAAAAAATTTTATCACCCCAAACAGAAACCCAATACCCGTTAAACAATAACTCCCCATTCTGCCCACCTCTTCCCCTAGTAACCCCTGATAAACTGTTGTGGTTTGCTCTGGGATGCTGTGTAATCATTGAGTGTTTGTCCTTTGAGTCTGACTTATTTCACTTAGCACAGTGTTTCAAGGTTCATCCATATCGTAGCATGTATCAGAACTTCATTTCTTTATGGCTGAATAATATTCCATTGTATGTTTGTACCACAATTTGTTTATCCATTCATCTGTTGATGGACGTTTGGGTTGTTTCCTCCTTCTGGCTATTGTAAATAATTCTGCAGTGAACATCAGTATACAAGTATCTGAGTCCTTGTTTTCAGATATTTTGGGTATTTACCCAGGAGTGGAATTGCTGGGTCATGTGGTAATTCTTTCTGTTAAATGAGGAACCCCTAAAAGGTTTTGCATGGTGGCAGCACCATTTTACATCCCAGCCAGCAATGGAGGGAGGGTTGCAATTTCTCCACATCCACTCCAACACTTGTTTTGCATTTTTCTGATAATAACCATCCTAATGTGTATGAAATGGTATCTCATTTTGGTTTTGATTTGCATTTCCTTAATGACTAATGACATAAGCATCTTTTTAGGTGTTTGTTGGCCATTTGTATATCTTCTTTGGCGATATGTCTAGTCAAGATCTTTGCCCATTTCTAGACTGGATTGTTTGTCTTTTTGTGGTTGATAAACCTGCTTTTAAAGAGCAACTTGCCTAACTAGTCCCTCCTCAGAGAAGGTCAAGTAGAAAAAAAATTTTCTCTTAAGGTCAACAGATAAGCACTCCAGTGTATAAGTACAGGTGTAAGATAAACAAATTTCAGAAGTCTTTTATAGACTAGTCCAACTATGTAAATATTTGGTCACTGTTGGCCTTAGGGCATTATCCAATCTACATGACCATGCTGATGGTTCAGAGAGGTGATTATTGAAATGACTAGGAAGAAAGCTTTTGAAATTGGACTTTCTGGACTTCATATATTACAGTGGATATGAAGGGGTGGGCTACTAATAAAAAATTCTTCCAGAGACATATAGCTCATTATGGTTAATTTATAAATTGCTAAACTATTTCTAGTCTTCTGTTCTTGCAGTAACTTCTTTTCATAAAATAGTGTCAAAACTGGTTTCTAAACCTGATTATATGTCAGAATCAGTTGGGGGGGCTTTTATGAAATATGGATTATCGAGCCCCATATGCAGAGATTTTGAGTCATTAAAATCTAGGACCTCTCAGAAACCTTTTTTTTTCTTTTTCTTTTTTAAGCACTCCAGTTGATTCTGATGCAGAGCCAGGTTTAGAAATGATTTCAGTGTTTTTGTTATTCTGCAATTTTTTTTTCTTTTTTTAATTATTAAGAGTACAAGTCCAAATTACAGCCAATACCAAATTGTAATCAACTGAATTGGGGAACAGGATGTTTAATTTCTGAGGGACTTACTTCCACACTGGCATTTTTCTTCATTGCACCAGTTCATTTAAATTGAGCCTTAAATATGTTGGCACAGTGATTTATTAATAGTATACCCCAATTAGCATTATCTTATTAAAATGGTATAATTGTTTAACAGTGAATGCCAAAGTAACATAATTATGGGGTTCTTATTTAAGAATTAAAATAATGTTTTGTGAAAATTTTTTCAGTATAAAATTTATAGGAAAAATAATTTGAGCTGTTACCCTAAAGAGTTTCCCTACTTCTGTATCTTTGAAGTCATGTAATATAAACATAAATAGGAACATGATAAACACCAGAATTAGACCCTGCTCAAAAAAGCTGTAGTTTCTCTGGCTTTTCATATCTTTAAAAAAAAAAACAAACTCTGACATAATGTGAATGTGACAAAGAACCTCTTACAGTGTAATTGCTTTATGATTTTAAAATATTTTCTAGTAGAGTTTTTCATACTTTTTTACTGCAAACATCATTAAGAAACACAATAAGAAACACCACGACCACGACATATGTTTGTGTGTAACTGAAACAAATAACAACACTACGAGGGATTCACTCAGATTTTCTCTTCTACTTTATTTTTTATAAAAATACTCGTCATGTCCCACCGAATTGATTTTGCAACCCTCTAGGGCCAGCATTGGAGTCCTGGTGGCACAGTGGTTAAGAGCTTGGGTGCTAACCAAAAGGTTATTAGTTCAAATCCACCAGCCGCTCCTTGGAAACCCTATGGGGCAGTTCTCTGTCCTATAGGGTCACTGTGAGTCAGAATCAACTCGACAGCAATGGGATTGGTTTCTGGTTTAGGGCCACTATGCACAGTCAAAGAACCTTATGCATATATGCATATATATATATATATATATATATAAAATGTATGTATGTATACACACACACTTTTTTTTTAATGGTGACACAGTGCCTCCTTGTGGGCATAGCTCAGTCACACGTTGGTTGAATCTCTTCTAAATAAAAGTAAACCAATGCATCATTTAAAAAAAAAAAGAATATTTTATGTGGTTCTATATTGTATTTTATGCTTGAAGAAATAACAATCTGAAATGAGTTGCATTAAAAATACGTATTAATCTTTTATTTCAAAGTCTTCAATTATTGTTCATTCATTGCTGGGAATAAAAGGAAACTACATGTTAAAACAGATGTTTTTTCCCCGTAAAATCTACCTTTTAACTGTCTTTGTATTTTGATATTCTGCCTTTAGGACAGGGTAACCTTCAGGAGGATAATTGTAAAAAATAATGCCAAAAAGAGAAAAATGTATGAAAGCTTTATAGAGTCACTGCCATTCCTTAAATCTTTGGAGGTAAGTTTATATATGTTTATGCTTTTATTTTGCTTTAAAAACTTTTCTTTTTTTAGGCGTATTTACTTCTGTAGAAAAGTTCCTTTAAATAAAAATCTATCCATATTTTCATTTGGAAAAAGCAAATTATGTTATTTGGTTTTATAACTCAGTATTTCTTTTACTACCTATAACTACATCTGTTTTGTTGTTTATAAGTACATAGACTTCTATCTGGCATATATAACATTTATATATGATCTTTATGTTAAAGTAGACAAAGTGATCACTAAATGAAAGCAAAAGCCACCTTTTTTCATTCTTTCATAGGGAGGAGTTATCTGACTGTCCTTACCTTCTCCTTCCCTGTTGTCCCTGTAGTTTATTCCACTTCTCCTTTCCTCTTAAAGTCGGCATTCCAGGGCTCAGTCCTTGGTCCTCTTGTCTTTTCAGTCTGCACTTGCTCACTTGGTGAACTTGTCAAACTCCATGGCTTTAAATGCTGACTATATGCTCATGCTTCCTAAATTGACATCACCAAGCACAGCCTTTCACTTGAATTCTATGTCATTTACCCAACTGCCTATTTAACATCGCCTCTTGGATGTCTGATAGACACCTCAGACCTAACATGTCGTAAATCTACTCCTACCCTGCCTCCTCCATCTGAGTGGATGGTAGCTCCCTCCTTCCAATGTCTCAGGCCAGAAACCTTGGAGTTAGCCTGGACTCCTCTTTTTTCCCCACCCGTGTCCAATCTGTTAGCACTCTTATCTGTTCTATCTTGAGAATATATTCAGCATCTGATCATTTCCCACCCATTTGTCCACCATCACCATGGTATGAGCAATCATCACCTCTTCTCTGGCTTATTGCAGCCTCCAGAATAATCTTTTTAAAACCCAAGACAGATCATGTCAATCTTCTGTTTAAGACTTTCTTCGGAAGGCCCACATGGCCCTACACAGTCTGTCCTCTGCCCCCACCCTATTCTCCCTTTGACCTCATTTCCCACAGCTCCCTGCTCAGCATGTCACTCCAGACACACAGGTACGTGGAGCCCATGCTTACTTCAGGGCCTTTGTATTACTGTTTGTCTGGAATGTCCTCCAGCATATCCCCCCTAGTTCACTTCCTTATTACTTTTATTTCTTAGCCTGGGTGGCTTCTCAGTGAGACCAGCTGTTATGTTTTTACTCTGAAGATGGAAGCTTATGAGAGAGAGAAAGTGGGTTTTGGTTCCCTTGTAAATTCAACTTTATTTTCTGTACTTCATTGTTAAACTGAATGTTTTTCTATATACTTTAGTCTCATATTTGCAGTATTTTACAAGCAATTAAAGAGGACATGCATATGTAGACACAATGTCTTCTAAAGCAGCAAATGTCAAAATATTAGTACTTCTCCTTTCTAATATCTCTTGGTTGGATTTTCAGTATATGCTTTGTAGAAACTTGGGCCACATTACAGAATGCATGTTAGGCAGCTGATCTTCTCTAGGAGCATATCTTTTTAAATATAAATAGATCTGGGGCTGGAAATCCAAATGCCTTCAGAGCTAGGCAAGTAACATAAAGAGAAAAGCAAGCCAGGAAGGGACTTTGGTAACTTGGAGAACATGTGCTTCATGTATAGGGACAGCTGCTGTTCCACTGGAGTCCGTTATTACCATGGAAATAAGGGCCAAGTGTTGCTGAGTCTTCCCTTTTTCAACACAAGTGGAAATCCAAAATTTTATGAGAAATTTATTTTTAAATGCTACTAGTTAATATAACAAACACACACTGCTGAACTTATTTGGCCTATGCATTCCCAGTTTTCAACCTCTGAAATAGTTAAGATTATCTGTTAGTCTGTTTCTGTTTAATACTGCCTTTTTTCTTTGTAGGTTTCGGAACGCCTAAAAGTGGTAGATGTAATAGGCACCAAAGTATACAACGATGGAGAACAAATCATTGCTCAGGTATAATATCTTCTATGTAATTCAGTTTGAGGTTATATTCAGAAAAGTTTTTTACACATTCTAAATGTTGATAATTTTCTCATATGTATTTCTATAATTAGTATGTAGTGATAGATTAAATGAATATTACTTCTACCAAGGGACCTGTTAAAAATGGTTTAATTTATAGCCATTAAGCTATTTAAATGTTTTTGCTTTTATAATTAACTACTAATGAATATTCATTAAACCATCTAATAGCTTTCTGCATAATTTTATACTTGTATGATGAAATTCATATGTATGTAAAGAAATAAGATGCCATTTATAAGAGGAAAAAAACAGGCAAGTGTTCCATGAGATTAGTGAGGACCCAGAAGGTACCTTGGGAGATATTGGAGACTTTTGCATGATCAGGAGCTCACGATGAAACCTTCTGAGGCTGCTCCCTGATAACATCAGCCAAGAAGGAAACTTACTGGACCATAAACTGCATTGGCTTCTGGGAACTAAATGGGCCAACATGTTACTTAATCCCCGATGCTTTTCTGAAATCCCAGTTGGAACCACTAGTTTACATACCTAGGTTAGAATAGGGCTACCAAGAAGTAGGATTGGTAAACATTGTTGGAGATCACAGATAAAGCATGCAGGTGATAGTACCTTATTTCATACTTGGCTTTTTGAAGCATTGAGCAATGAGTCAAATGGATTTAATAGATTCTATAGTTTTTGCATCATAGTATTATACTCTACCATGTTCTTTACCTAAAATATTGACTTTTCCTTTGATACATGTGAAACACAAGCTTCAAGGTCTGTGAGGCTGAGGAAAGGATAATTGGTTTAGAAGGCAAATAAATAAGTAAATCTCTCTCTCTCTCTTGTTTTTCTGCATATGTACAGGTGAGAGCAGTCAGGGAATGAGGCTAAGGTTCTACTATGTAAATTGGTAAATAATAACAGTCTACCAGTTGCTGTCAAGACAGTTCCAATTCATGGTGACCCCTCGTGTGTCAGAGTAGAATAGAACTGGGCTCTGTGGTTTTTTTAATGGCTGTGACCTTTCAGAAGCAGATCACCAGGGCTTCTTCTGAGGTGCTTCTGGGTGGGTTCAAATTTCCAGCATTTTGGTTAGTAGCAAAGCACTTAACCTTTCATGCCACCCAGGGAGAACAAAGTGTAGAGTGCTTTTAAAATGATCTTTTTTTAAGCTTTTTATTTTGAAATAGTTATCCATAGGAAGTTTCAAAAATAGTACAGAGAGGTCCTGTTACTCTTCACTCAGTTTTCCCAATAGTAATATCTTATGTCCCTTTAGTACAATATCAAAACCAGGAAATTGCCATTGGTACAATCACAGACCTTACTTAGATTTTACCAGTTTTACATGCACTTAAATCATATAACTTAGAGCTTAAAACTTAGGGTTTATTAAATATATTTTTAGATATTAGTTGTCTTAGATATTTATACACATACATGTCTGCAACTATATTATATAAATCGAGATTCAACATTTATTTTTGTGATGTAATCTGATACTAAATTTCTTGAATTATACGAGTTTCGAAATACCAGTTTGAGAGGCTCAAGAGTCAGTACCTGTGTGTTATCGTCTATATTATACTTTTTAATTCAGAAGGCATCATTGGAAGTCAAGGTAGAGTTCGAAATAAAATTTAACGCATACATGGTTAGAAATAGCAATCCTGTAACACTCTCCCAGAAGGTCTTAGAAGCCTTGAGGTGAATTGTCAGCAGCCTAGAGTCTGAGTCTGGTCCCTGAGAACTGCAGTGAAAATGTCAAGATTCACACCTACTACTTCCTAATAGGTCTGGATGCTTACTCCTCTTTGTGAGTAGACTGGTCATTTTGGATCATCAAGCTAATGCTCGTTATGTTATGAAGACATGGGGACACAGATTGGCATTTCACAGGCCACAGGACCAGCTGGTGTATTCCTGCCTACTGGAGAGATGCTGCTGGAATACACAGCAGTGTGGTCATTGCTAACCGCATAGGCTGTTACCCAGGCTGAAATTTGGGTGAAATTCTTACCCCAGTGTTATTTGCTATATTTTCTTGATTGACTGGTTATATTTCAGCAGAAATGCTGTGATAGGGAGTGTATGATTTCAAATAATTTTACAAACGAAAGCATTACTATGTAATTGTCGATAGTAACCTCTCAGTTTAGAAATTGAGATAGCCTGTTTGATGGGGTTTCACTTTTCAACTGGATTACTGTCAAATAAATGTGCACTTTCACCATCTGTTTTTGTTTTTATTCTCATAGGGAGATTTGGCTGATTCTTTTTTCATTGTAGAATCTGGAGAAGTGAAAATTAGCATGAAAAGGAAGGTAAGCGCTCTTAAGTCATAAAAATCCACATAATGTTAGCAAGAAACATAATAGACCTTTTTTTTATGTTTAAGCTAAAGTTAACTTTCATTTTTCACAAGCTAAGTAAACGTTAATATGTTTTATTATGTTGTCAGGGTAAATCCGAAGTGGAAGAGAATGGTGCAGTAGAAATCGCTCGATGTTCTCGGGGACAGTATTTTGGAGAACTTGCCCTGGTAACTAACAAACCTCGAGCAGCTTCTGCCCACGCCATTGGAACTGTCAAATGTTTAGGTAGGAATCGCAATTGTGGGCATACTTCTCCTGGTTGAAATGGTTATATTTACACTTTATGTATGCATGTTGTAAGGGTCATTTTATTGAGTTCACAAGTTTTATGGTCCCCACAAAATGTAACAAGGTTAGGATTCATTGCATTATAAAATCAATTTGTGGATATTTTTCTTTGAAAATTTTCACATATATGTGTTTTGGTCTTTTGTATATACATGAAATAACATCTTATTTTAGTAGGTAAAATAAGAAATTGAAGTACCAAGTTTCGTATCTATAAAATAACATGCATTATAGTCCTTAAAAAAGAATATTCAAACATTATTTATATAAAGTACATTAAGCTCTACAAGGCAAGTTGGAATGTCTGAGAATACTTCCTTATCCTGGCACTGGGAAACAAAGCTCCGTGTTTGTCAAAGGATAATAAAATTTTCTTTGTTGTTTAGCTGTTTATTTCTTACACCACGTAGTAGCTTGTCAGAAATGCCATCCTGAGCTGCAAGACATCTGTATACACCCTGAAGCACAGATTTTTATACCTGAGAAATAACTTACTTTAATAATGAAAAATATAGTTCAGGAAGTGGCAATATAGATGATATTTTCTTTTAAGTAAGAAAATTGATTCCACAGTAATTAGCCTCTCTATGCTCTTCATCTACAATTCATCTTCAATAGAAGAAACTTAGTTTCAAAGTTCTTAAGAATTAATGTTCTCAAGAATTAAGATCCTTAGAATTAACTTCTTAGAGAAGTCAGTTTTTAAAAGGTTTTGAAATAAGTATACTATTAATCAAGTGTTACACTGGGATGGAAGAAAAGACAATTAGAAACTGACAGGTAATTTCCCTGAGTAGAGATATTAGACAGTAACAGTAAAGGTAATGTGAAATTCCATTAATTTTTTTCTAGAATAAATTATGTTCACATAAATGAAAATCTGAGAAATAAGAAAATGTAGGAAAAACTAAGAATCACCCATACCACCACCACTCAGTGATTAACCCATTGCCATTGAGTCAGTCCTTCTGGTCTTTTATATTTACGTGAGTTTTCTGTTTTGAAACCATTTTGTAAATGCCTTTTTCATTCATTATAGCTTAGGCAATTTCTCATTTTATTACATAAATTATTACATAAGATTTTTATATTCTATTAGGTAAATAAGGAGCCCTGGTGGCACAGTGGTTAAAGCACTTGGCTGCTAACTGGAAGGTCGAACCCACCAGCTGCTGTGAGGGATAAAGATGTGGCAGTCTGCTTTGGTAAAGATTTCCAAAATCAAAAAACCAAACCTGTTGCCATTGAGTTGATTCCGACTCATAGCGACCCTTTAGGACAGAGTAGAACTGCCCCACAGAGTTTCCAAGGAGCGCCTGGTGGATTCGAACTGCCGACCTTTTTTTGGTTAGCAGACGTAGCTCTTAACTATGCCACCAGGGTTTCCTCGTAAGGATTACAGCCTTTGAGACCCTATGGGGCAGTTCTGCTCTGTCGTGTAGGGTTGCAATGAGTCAGAATCAACTCAATGGCAGTGGGTTTGCTTTTTTGGTTTTGGTATTAGGTAGATACACACATTACAAGTTATTTAATCATTCCCCATTGGTAAACATCTTGAGGGTTTTGCCTCTAACTTTATATAAATAATGCTGCATTGATTATTTTTGTGTATAGAAGGCTTTTCCTTACAGTTTTCAGAATTGTGGGGTTTTTTTTGATATATATATATATATGTATATGTGTGTGTGTATATATATATATATATTGCTGGATTACTTTTAAAATGTTATTTGTACCAATTTACATTCCTACCAGCAGTGCAAGAATGCCCATTTACCCTATTCTTGTAAATGTCATTTTTATGTTTGCAAATTTGAAAAGCAAAAAAGATGTATTTTAATTTGTAGTTTTATGTTTGAGAGTGTGATCATTTTTTCCATGTATGTATTATGAATTAAGTTTTGAAATGCATGAAACAGTCAAGCAAAGTGACATATATAGCATGTACCAATAGAAGTGAACGAAAGCATCCTGGACAGAGCTGGAAAAAAATGTAGAACAAAATTTTAACTCACAAAAAAGACAAGACTTACTAGCCTGACAGAGACTGGTGAAAACCCGAGAGTATGGCCCCTGGACACCCATTTAGCTAGGTAATGAAGTCACTCCTGAGGTTCATCCCTTAGCCAAAGATTAGACAGGCCCATAAAACAAAACGAGACTAAAGGGGCACACCAGCCCAGAAGCAAGGACTAGAAGGCAGGAGGGGACAGGAGAGCTGGTAGTAGGGAACCCAAGGTTTAAAAGGGAGTGTTGATGTGTCATGGGGTTGTTAACCAATGTCATGAAACAATATGTATTGTTGTTGTTAGATGCCGTCAAGTCGGTTCCGACTCATAGTGACCCTGTGCACCACAGAACGAAACACTGCCTGGTCCTGCGCCATGCTCATAATCATTGTTATGCTTGAGCCCGTTGTTGCAGCCACTGTGTCAGTCCATCTCGTTGAGGGTCTTCCTCTTTTTCGCTGACCCTCTACTTTACCAAGCATGATGTCCTTCTCAGTGTACAGTTTAATGAGAAGCTAGTTTGTTCTGTAAAACCTCATCTAAAGTACAATAAAAAATAAAAGAAAGTGAACAAAAGCATTACTTTGGCTGCCGTTTTGAAATGACTAGACAATAGTACAAAAGAATAAAAATTATAAAAGGTAACATTCAGTTTTCACAGCATGGCATTAGAAACCCTGAGAAGGAAAAACAAGATAGAAAACACTTTCCCAGCCTTTGCAGAGTTCATAATACTAAGGTGGAAGCATCAAAATGAATTAATTTTTCAAAATTCCCAGACCTTGCCATGACAGTCATTTAATAGCCTGGACCAGGAACCTCCCCGCAGCCTAGCACTGCACACCATACTATGGAGGGACCTGAGAGTATGGCTCCAGATGGCCCTGGCTGCTTCCTTTTGCAGTGAAATGTTTTTATCTTTTTTTTTTGTATTTTACAATATTTACCTAAAAATACCATTGCATTATTGATATATGCAGAATGGGTATCTTAAATGACTTAGAAATTCTGTAGATTTGCAGAGAATGTAATTTTCTTTTACTCTCTTCTTTTCTTAGCCATGGATGTGCAAGCATTTGAAAGGCTTTTGGGACCTTGCATGGAAATTATGAAAAGGAACATCACCACCTACGAAGAACAGTTAGTTGCCCTGTTTGGAACAAACATGGATATTGTTGAACCCACTGCGTGAAGCGAAAGCATGGAGCAAGAAGACTTGTAGTGACAAAATTACACAGTAGTGGTTAGTCCACTGAGAATGTGTTTGTGTAGATGCCAAGCATTTTCTGTGATTTCAGGTTTTTCCTTTTTTTACACTTACAATGTATCAGTAAACAGAGTAGTGATTTAATAGTCAATAGGCTTTAACATCACTTTCTAAGTACTTAGATCATAAAAAATTCCACATACTGACAAAATGACTTTCTACTCCATACAATTATGATTTGACTGAAATGTTTATTCAAATGATTGTAATATATTGAGTGAATCAGTATTTAAGAAGATAATTAAAGGATGTTATCGTAGACAACATGTGTTCGTTTTGACTTATTCAAAATTGATATGTTAGCGACTGTGCCCATGTAGGAGGGAACTTGGCAATGAATCATGCTATACAGCATGGCATCACATTCTTTTTACAACTCATTATGTATAGTAAGTACAATTTTAATAATTCTTGTTTTAAAATTTTTCTGGCTTAAGTTATTTGCTGGCCTTGGACTATTGGCAACATGGTATAGAACATCATATGCAATTTTAAAACCATTTATATTTTTGCAATAAAGTACATTTGACTTCTTTGGCATAATGTCAGTAATCTACATATTCCAGTGGTTTTAATGTCAGGCACTGTAGTCATTATATTAATAGAGAAAAGAAGTTTTAGATATGAGATCATTAACACATTTTTTCCTCAGTAAGCATATATCTTCGCTTCCTTTTTAATTTTATAATTTTCTGAATTCTTTATCTTTAAAATTTTGAGTTTGGCATTCTGAGTCACAAATGAGGTTTTAAAAAAGGCTATTTAAATTTGTTAGATCTGGCATTATGTTTTGTCTGTTAAAAGCCTAAGATCTTATAGATAGTAAACAAACAAAAAAAACTCTCCCGTGCTGAAAATTATTTTGGATTCCGTAGTAACATGCCCACAGGTTATTTCTTTATTCTTCACTAGGCCTATGTAATACAATTGTTTGCAGACATTTGCTCCCAGTCGGCTTCTGGTTTTCCTTAGAATAGTTGCAAACCTGGGATCTCGTGGGTCAGCAGCCGCTGAGAAAGGTTTTTCACTTGTCTTTTAACCTTTAAAAACTTTCTCCAAGGTGGTAGAAATAAATATTTATAAGCAAAGCCATATTCAAAGATTAAAAGGAGTTTCTGCCCATACCACATATTACCAGTAGGCTTTGCCATTTGCTTTAATGTAGATTCATAGTAAAGTGCAGAATGAATTCAACTTTAACATAATATGATAATTGATGTGCTTATTCTTCTGCTATATAAGATGAACTGAATTATATTCAATCAAAGCAGTATACTATTATATGCCTTCTAGGCCCACATGACACCAATGTCTAGAGATACTAATTCTAACCAGTTGTTCACTTTTAAATGAGAAATTTCATTTTGGGAAACGTTTCAAAAAAATATATGGGCATGGGTAAAATTATTCTGTGGATAGTTTGGTCTTGTTAGGGAATGTTTATAGTTCCACTTGTATATGAAAACATGGTTAGAATATATTAATTGGATAATGTATATGTAAAAAGTTATATAAAGTATGTAAAGGTATAACTTCTGCCACGTTTTAGAACGTTTTTACAAGACCTTGTTGGAAAAAATAGCTCTCTACATGAAGATGTGTTTTCTGTTTTACTTCAGATTTTATTTTAAAAGCCATATGTTAAACAAGAAAAAAACAAAGAACCCAGAATTCTGGTTCATCATTATGTATTCTTTACTCACCTTTTCAAGTAACCTGTTTTGTTGCAGAAGCTGATGGTTAACTATTCATAGAACAGCAAACAAATGCCTGTTTAATAAAGAACTCTGACCAAGGCTGTAAATGCCAGTTACATTATTTTCAGTATTGTTGGTTATATTTAAATTTTCCTTATAATAAAGCACAGTTTTATAATAAAATATGTGAACTGGTTTTTAATAAAGACTTGTTTTCTTGCTTGTTGCTTTAATGTAACTATAATGCATAGTGCAGTGAAAAGCATGATAGAAATGTGGCTTATGTGAAAGTTAACTCCTGGACACAATGCAAGAAATATGTGTGGCAGTAGTTATTTTTGTTTTAACTCTTAGTCATATGTGAAATGTGACTCACTGCAGATTAATTTGGCCATTTAGAATAACCAAATAAATAAATCCAGCTAACTTGGGAATTTATGTGGAAAATTATCTAATTAAAATACTTCACATTTCGCTTATGGATGTCATCATTTAATCACTAACCAAGAGTCTTTACTATTTGGCAACTGTTGTGGTCTTAAAGGTGGAGTCTCCTGATTCAATTGTATGTGGCTAAGGAAAGGTTGCTATGAGTCGCAATCTACTCGATAGCGATGGGTAGGGAAAGGAGTTCTCACAGAATATTCTTTTAACACTGAGGTGTTTTCCCTTATTTGTTTTAAATAAATATATAGACAGATGTGTTTTTCCTGTGTATCAGTATGAACTAGGGCTCAGTGCATATGTTTTAACATATATTACGTGTGATACAAATTGGGTGAATGTATTTGGGTTACTATTATAAACTCTCGAATATGATGCAAGGAACTTTGGATTTTATTGAAGTATGTAAGATTAAGAAAAGTGCTGAGGGGATTGCAACCAATGTCACAAAACAATATGTGTATAAATTTTTGAATGAGAAATTGAGCTGTAAACTTTCCCCTAAAGCACAATAAAATAAAATAATCAAATAACTCAATTAAAAACAAATAAAAACTACATTTTGGATTATGCTCAAAAAAAAGAAAAGTGCTGAGTCATTTTCCTTTCCAGAGCTTGTTAAAGCATTCAGCTGCTAACCAGAAGGTCAGCAGTTTGAAACCACCAGCGGCTCCATAAGAGGAAGATGTGACAGTCTGCTTCTAGAGAGATTTACAGTAAGCCTTGGAAACCTGTGGGGTTGCTATTGAGTCAGAATCGATGGTAGTGGGTTAATTTTCTCACGAAATATTTATAACCAGGATTAGATGACCTTTGGCATTCTTAGAGGAAATTAATGTGTAAGGCTAGATGAGTAAGTAATACATCTGTATAAGCTAAGGCTTTGTTAAAAAGCTGAAGAAGTGATTCTAATATCTAAATGTCAATATCTAAGTGGGAAATAGAATTATAAGGAATGCTGGCTTCTAAAATTAAAAGTAGTGTGAAGTATGTTTTGATAATGTTGAATATAAGTGTTCCATATAATAAAAAGAATTTCGACAAAAAGAAGTTGGAGTAAGAATTGAGACAACCTCACCTTTTGACAATTTGGACAGTGATAAGTCTCCACATTTCAGGCAATGCCATGTGATCTTTCTTTTCCCAGTAAAGTAGTGTGCCAGATGTGAAAATGTGAAATATATTGTTTCATTTTACCCCTAAATAGCATTGATCTTGTGTGTGCGTGTTTACTATCTTTAACAAATTAGAAACTGATGTTTCTTTATGATAACAAGTAATTTTACAAACGGTTAAAAATACATCGTGATTTGACAATTTCTTGACAAATTGTGGCAGAGTTTATGTGTATATGTGTGTGACTATTGTGTCTGTACTAAACAAGAGTAGATGTATTAGGTGTATTTAAAGGAACTGATTTTATGTCAGTTTTATCATGGAAACATCTGGACATAAATATTTCTGTAATTATATCCATTTTAATCCAAGAGTAGGATTTACATATATAAAACTTTCCAAAGAAGTCTTACTAGTTTTGTACTTTCAGCCTTGTTCTGGCTTATAAGTTGGCTGATTTTGTTAGTCATCCAAGAATCAGTGATGCTGTTCCTGTTTTAAATACAGTGAAACCTGTGAGAGCTGAAAATCAGCGGGACTGCCTTGTTTTTCCAGGTCTTGCAAGTTTTCTGTCTCTCACAAGGTGCAGTCTTACCACTTTTCTATTGCTTGTTTCAGTGGAAAATACTTGAGTTTTCCTTCTCAGACAGGTTTCCATCTTAAACGGGTTTCGGATTTCACAGGTTTTACTGTAATATAAGCTAACTGATGTGGTCATCTAGCTTCGGGAAAGAGAGAAGATGGGACTAATTGTCCACCTAAAATTATGTAAGAATGCTAATATGGGTATTTATAATCAGTTGTGACTGAACTATCTGAATTTTACTTACATTGAAAGACTTCATAAAAATGAAATGAAGTATAGGAAGATGTCTTTTGTATTTGTATCCTCACCAATTAGCACAGTGGTCAACAAATAGTAGGAACTAGCTGTTTTTGAATGAATGAATGAAAAAAAAATCTCCATGAAGACTTTTGATAAAATTTGTTTCAAATAGTTTGAACTTTTAAAATAAGGTAAGGAATGACTCAAACTGTGAGAGATCATTCTTTTAGGGGAAGGGTATATCTTTCTAGTTTCCTGGAGGGAGTTAGATAGATACTCAGATCTTGATTTTAAATGATCAGGTGAGTTCTTTTTGTCAAGAAATTAAACTGGATTATGCATTTTCAATTTAGGGACACAATAATACCCCTCAACTGTGAAAAAACAAGCATATACACAAATTAACAGCAAAACAGTTATTGTTTGGATCACTATTAATCTCTGAAAGATGATAAATTCAAATTCTGTCCTTTTTTCTTGGGGAAAAATTTATACATTTTGTTGGCTCTTCTCCCTCTGAACTGTTTTAAGAAAGAACATGTTTAATTACCAATTGTGAATATAGAAATTAAATCTTTGATCACACGGTAGGGAGGACTACTTTAAATAATTTCACTTAAAGGATTCAAAAGAATTTATAAGCACGAAGGAAATTTTAAAACTTGTTTCAACATATGGAGATTATTTCGGATTTCTTGGTTTGTTATGTGACTTTCAGATAGATAAGACTTGAAAATTAAATGTAGGGAGGTTTTAAAGAAGTACTTGTTAACAGTTTAACTTTTGTCAAAAGTTTAACTTCACAGGTTTCTTTCTAATGTAAGTTCCTCATCTAAATTTTAAGCGTATATGCAGTGATCTAAAGGTATAAAACCTAAAAGCATAGCTTAAACAATGAAACACTAAGTTCAAAGGGAAAAAAGTTTAATAGTGCCTTTGTAATATGAGTGGGAAAAACATCAGTTATGGACTGGATGCGCCCGACTGTGAGGGACAACCATGTTTAAAGTGAATCAAGCTATAAAGCAGAGAAGTCATCATCATCCCCTGGTGAGTCAGAGCATTAGTAGCTTAAGGAGTAACTCCTAGTGGAAACAAAGTGGAAGGACAGTTTTGTTTCATAAATGGGAAGCCGTCTGGAGGGGAAAAATGGCTCACAAAAACTCACCACAGAAACTTACAGAAAATGACTCACAGATCAGTCTTAAGTTACGCATTATACCTCTCTATATTACCTCTACCAACGAACGAGCAAGCTGGTCAGTATGAAAAACACAGCTTTATGACTTGCCTCCATTTCAAAGCCAGTAGTAATCGCTCACTCACAGCTTCCACTAAGACAACTGAGCTTCGTAAATTCTCCAGAGCCTGAGCTTCTCTCACTGCCCTCCCCAAGCCTCACAGTGCCCGGCACACAGCAGGCGTTCAACAAATTTTGGGTGAATTGAACCAACTCGGTAAAGAAATCTTGAATTACTGTCCTACGGGTGGCGAGGTAAGGCAGAGAAGATGAAGAAGTTCTTGTTCTTCCCACAGGAGCCTAGCAACACTTTTATTATCTCCATCAAGACTGGGCCCGTGATTTGTGGGTGACCGGGTGCTTCGCGAGGCTACACTGCTTCCGTTTGTGCAGTCATCTCCTTCCCCTTGCACTAAAACAATACCTTGGCTTCCTGCCAAACTTTGAGCTGCGAACAACTTGGCTGTTTATGGCTCGGAAAGCGTGTTTCGGGAGGCTTGGGTTGCTCTGGGTGCTACGAGAGGCCCAGAAGAAGAGAAAAGCCCCAAGCTTTAAAACAGTCCTTTCTTCCGCCCCCTCCTTTTTGTCCCAGATACCAAAACAAACGAGCTGATACACGTGTCCCTATGACTCTTGTTTACTATCAAGCCTGCACTGTACACGCCCTTCTGGGATATGTAGTCCAGCCGGTTCCTCCCGTCCGCAATTTACCAGGGTTGGGACTACGAACCCATAATCCATTTCGGGGGCAAAGTTTGGTTTGAGACCCCGGAGTCTAGGCAGTAATCCAATCCGAAGCACTCATTCTAGTGATTGACACGCCATCTTCTCCACTAAACACAACACAAAAGTCAATACAACCCCGCCCCGTGAGATGGCCACAGGATCACCCAATGGAAAAGTGGAAGAATCGAATGGCAGCTCGGCAGACCAATGAGAGAGCGAAAGACCTGGGCGGAGGCTCAACCCCCGGGGGGTTGAAGGGGGGGAAGACGAGGCTTGAAAGACTTGGTAATGGCGACGGGTTTGGTAAGTAGCAAAGTTTCGGTTGAGGAGTAAGAGCGGCGGCCGGAGTAGTAACGCGCGCCGGAGAAGCCAGCATTAGTCAGATAGGGGGTACGCGAGCTGTTGGTGGTGTTGTCGTGGCCAGGACGGCCCGGGCCTGGGCTACCCGCACTCGGCGGCGGGTTTGTTGTCTTTCAGTTCGGGAAGGGGTGGGGGTGGGGAAGGGAGGGGCAGGAGCCCGAGGGGATCGGGCGGCCGGGCGAGCTCAGTGTTGCGCTTCTTTTTTTCCTGAAGGGCTGCCCTGAGGCTGGGGGCAGTTAACTGTCCGATAACTGCTCGGTGTGAACCCACTGCAACGGCGCCTTCCGCGAGCTCACCTGGGCTTCGCGGCTGCGGCGGCTTGAGGGGGTCTCCGGGGGCGGGGGCTGGGAGGAGTCTGGGCGAGAACTGCGCTTCGGGCCGGATCGCGCGGTGGGTGGCCGGGCCGGGTGCGGAGATGGGACGTGCTGGGGCGGGGGAAGGGGTCGGCGCAGCGCCGGGGCTACCCAGGAAAGTTTGACTTCAGCTCCCTGTGTGTGGGTGGGGGTCGGAGGCTGGCCTGGAGTTGGGGGCCGGCTAGGGGTGGGGGACCCCAGTGAGGCACCTCCTCCTTGTGGGCCGAGAGGGGCTCGGGCCGTTACGGGAAGCTGGCGAAGCCGCTGGGCCCCGGGGCTCATTGTTACGCAGTTCGAATGAATGGGCTTCGAGGCGCCTGCGCGATGGGGCTGAGCCGAGGGGAAAAACAAGCCTGGAGTCCAGGCTGCGGTCACATGATGGGGGGAGGGCGATGAATGGCGAAAGAGGTGGGGGATGGACTTGGCGTGGACCGGGCGGCGCTGCCTCTGTGACCTAGAGTGGAGGCTTGGCAGGCGATCCCAGTCTCCGCCTTCCAACCTATGCTGCTGCCGCAGGCTAATTCAAAACCAAAAGTCCTGTTGAAGTCGATAGCCGCGGTCCGGGCGGTGTTTGTATCTTCTTTAAACTCTGCGTGCTGTCTAGGGGTTTTCACCTTCCGCTTTGCCCTCTACCCAGTCTAGAATTCATTCTTAGGGGGTTTTCAGCACGAATAGTTTTTTAAAAGGAACACTAACAGCAGAGCAGCGCTCACATTTTTTAGCTGAAGGGTGACACTGATGCCAGTACGGGAGGAGGGTGAAAGGTAATTGTCTATACTGGGAAGCACTGGAGCGTTTTCGATTTATTTCCCTCTAAATAGCAGTAACGGATGACCCCAACAGTGGTTTTGAAACTTACCTTTTGAGAGTTAGAAAAAATTTGACTTAACATTTGTAAATACTTACTGTTCTATTGTTTAACTCTTGATAACGATCTAAATTTGTGATGTCTTCCTCCTAGGTTTGGTCTTGGCTTGTTTATTTTTTTACTATAGTCTTTTGCTTTAGCTTGCAAACGAGTGTCATGGTCATCTGTTTACTCTGTTAAAATATTCAGTTTTTGTTGGGTGGGCAATGTTTGACAAAGTTTTAAGGAAATTTGAATTATGTTTAAAAGAATTTAAACCCACTCATTATGTTTTTGAGCTACTGTATACTTTCTAATGAAGTCATTTAACCACTTTGCAGCAAAATAATGCTCTTTCTCATAAATTGACGGATTATTTATAGAATGAAAATTTGATTTCACTTCCTTGTTTCCATCTTACTTAGTTTCATATGCCCAATTACCTTTACTTTCTGACTGGAGACCCTCTCCTTTGTTTACTTCTTAAACTCCTACTTACATTAGAATTTCCCACACACGAGTCTCCCCAATCTTTCGTACTCCACAGTGCATACTTAGACTTCACACATGGTGCTGTCACTTTAACGGTTCTCCTCCGCCGTGTTTTAACTTCTTTGGACTCACCTTGCTGTCCACGTGCCCGGCGGAGCACCAGGCATGTGGCATGGACTTAATGAATAAACTGCTAGGCCCTGAAGGTTTTTCAGGGAGAGTTGCAAACTGGCCTCCTGATTTGTTTAAAATGAAAATATCTGGACTTTTTGGTCATAAATTACTTTTTTGATTATGAAACAATGCCTGGTTACTGTATTGTCTTTTAAGTGTGAAAGTGAGTATTTACTTAGAATGACAAAATAAATTACAGCTAATTACATATTTTAAAAAATGACAAATACTGTATCACAAAATTCAGAAAAAAGTGACACAACATAATATTCTTGTTTATCAACTGTTTATTAATCACATCATGTCCATATTCCTTCATAATTTGATCTGCATGTACTTTGGTGCTTCATATCACAACTTACATTGTCATTTTCTAAAGAGAATAGAAAAATAATATTTTCTTTAATACAGTTGATTGAATTTTTTTTAAGTTATTGGTAAAAACCCACTGCTGTCAAGTCTATTTAGACGCATAGAGATCCTCTGGGACAGAGTAGAACTGCCCCACAGGTTTTCCAAGGCTGTAAATCTTTACCGGAAGCCGACTGCCACATCTTTCTCCCGCAGAGCATTGTAACCTTTGATCTTTTGGTTCGCAGCCAAGTGCTTTAACCACTGCACCACCAGGGCTTTCCAAAAGTTATTGGTAGTAGCTTTAGAAAGTTCTTTTCTGATTCACAAATTATTATTTAAAAAAAAAAAACAAAAACCAAACCCATTACCGTCAAGTCAGTTCCGACTCATAGTGACTGTATAAATTTTTAGGGTTACCATCAAGTTTAGGAAAACCTGTCAAGTTTTCTTCTGATATGAATTTTTACATTATTTCAGAAGATTACAAGTTTTTTCATACAATTCATCTTAAGTACTATTTGAATTGACAGTGCTGTATTTAAACAGTTTTATGGATGGTCTTGTGTATTAGGAGTTTTATGTTACCAGCATTTCATGTCAAATCAGCATGATATTGAAAGAACTTGTCTAAATGTGCTTGGGTAGTAAACACAGGGAAGTTTGGGCAGCAGTGGGTGATGAAATGGAAGAGTGCTTTGGAGCTAGGTAGGGATGTAAGATTTATTATCTTTTATACCTACAATAATTCTGAAAGGTAGATAGTTACTAGTTCCACTTACAAATAGGAAAACTGGCATAGAGGTTACATTGTTCAGGGTTGCACAGGTGGTAAGTGGTATTCCACAGTGATATATTGTACCAAAACAGTACTACCTACTGTAGATGTTTGTTTTTTTTTCTTAGCATAGTGGAATATTAGAGCTGCAGAAACACTTCTGTGTAATCTTGTGTTTGAAGATGTTTCTGTTGAAAATATTCTGAAAGAACTGCATTAAGGTCCCTTACTGCTTTCTGTATAGAAAATTGCATTTAGTATAGTTTGTTAAGGAGGCTCATTTTAGCTTGTAATTATATGATCTATTTTAAATACCTCATGTAAAAAATACAAATTAATTGGAAATTACCTTCTTTTCATTTCTCCAAACAATTTGAGTGTGTAGTCTGGACTTGGTATAGAAGTTGTTCAGAATTAAAAAACCAAACCCGTTGCCTTGGAGTCGATCCGACTCATAGTGACCTTATATTAGGAGAGAGCTTATAGAAGATCCTACCATGAAAATCAGTAATGTCACTGGAAAGGTAAGGACTCGGGGAAGAACAGGCACTTGAAAATGGTGTAACCTATGTTGGTCTAGATCCTTTTTTTTTTTTTTTTTTTTTCTGTTTTCATCTTTAAAAAGAAAATGATTGCATTCAGTAATTCTGTTTTCCTCATCCATAATATTTTGTTCACAGCTGTTTTGAGGTTTAAATATCGTTAGATGAAGTATGTGGAAATGTTTTGCACATAGTAGGTAGGCATTTAGTAAAACCTGATTTCCTTCTTTCTCATTCACTGAGACTTAGCTATGTCTAGTCCTGTCTTCCTCTCCTATCTTTCTAAGTTTTTATTTACTTCCTAAAGTTTGCATAACAACATCAGAGTCTTCTCATCCCTACCCGGTAAAAATTTGTAATATTGAACCTGACATTTCAAAGTACAACTGCTGGATAATTTTACTCTTCCCTTTTGAGAATCACTGATCTACAGGAGATACGACGTGTAGAGTTAACTAAAATACAAGGAGAGTTGTGTTGAATCCTTTAATACTAAAGCAGTATACAAAAGCATGAACAATAGGGTTAGCTCTACCGGGAGATAGTTGGAAGAGGAGCTTGTTAATAAAAAATGTGCATCTAATTGATGTAACATATGTGGGGGAGTATTTTTGAGTAAGGACTCTTGTGGTATTCCTTTACTGTATCAGAGGCCTAGTTTCCCCCAGAATATTTTGACAGAGAGAAAAATGACAGAAAATTGCATTTATGTATAGTTTTGAATTTTGTTTTAATGTATATTATTCTTACTAGAGCCCTGTGCAGTACCTTGAGACAGGTTAAGTGACCTGCCCCCAGGTAACGCAGCCAGCAAGGGCGAAACTCTAGTCTGTTGACTTTAGGCTCTCTTATACTGTACAGTAGGTTTACACTAGCAAAACCTCAGTTATCTAAAGACCAAACTTTTGATAGCTTTGAACATTGAGAGGTCCAAACACATAGAACTCAAGTTCAGGAAATATTTATTTGATCCTTTTTACTATTTGGGGGTAGCTCTGTTTTGAAATTAATGGGCCTTTTTTTTTCTTCTTAAGGAGTGTGGCGTTGGGCTGATGGTAGATAACTAAGACAGGGTGCTGAAGAAATGAGAGAAGTTGCAGGGACATGCTAATGTGCTGTAAATTGTGAATGGTGGAGACATTGCAGAAAGCACTAATAAGGAATTCTAGCTAGAAACGGAAAAACCCAAACCTGTTGCCTTTGAGTTGATTCTGACTCATAGCGACCCTATAGGACAATACTACTGCCCCATAGGGTTTCCAGGGAGCGGCTAATGGATTCAAACTGCTCACCTTTTGGTTAGCAGCCAAGTTGTTAACCACTGTGCCACCAGAAAAAACCAAAAAGCTCTGTTAAGGGAAGGGGAGGGCAAGATATACTGCAACTCTGCTTTTGTTGACCCTAAGAGCAGCACTGTTTTGTACACAAAGAATAGCTCTGAGGATATATGTGTGTAGTGCAAACTCTGAATTTCATACTACAGGTAGAAAGTTAATGGGACCATTTTCAACTTTCCTATTGCAGTTGGGGTTTACTTCTGCAAATCCCATCTGTGTGTGAAGCACAGTACATTTGAATCAGCAAGAAAAGTTAAATTATGTTCTGTATACCTAAAATATGGAGATTTATATTGGAAATATTTAAAATATTTAAAATCTGGTATTAGAATTGTTAATATTAGCTGTTCAGAGAAGTCACATAGAATGTCTGGTTCCCCTCTTTTGTTTTATAATAATAAAGAATCTGTGTTGATACTACGAGTTACCTTTACTTTTATGAGAACTCTTGCAGAGGAAGCTGGGGACAGGTAGCTTATGTAGACGGAAATTGGGACTGTGAATAGTATTTTTTTAATGCACCCTCCCTTAAATGTTTGTTATAGATGTTCCTGCGTACTCCTGTAGTGCTTCAGCATTATTTTGTATAGATTCAAAGAGAGTGTTTATAGTTCTGATCGTGTCAGACCTCAGTTCGGAAATCCTCAGTGGTTCCGCGAATGTCTGCTAATTGCTACTAGTAGTCACTCTACATTAGCCTAAGCATCTATTTTACATCTGTTATCTCATTGAGTTTTCACAACAACCTGTGAGGTAGGTGCTTCTATTATCTTCATTTTATAAACAAGACTTACAGCTTTTAAGTTAATTGTCCAGGGCACATAACTAGTAAGTGGCAAATTTCCGGGATGTAAATTTAGGCAGCCTGATTTCAGAGTCCTTACTCTTGTCTACTAAAAACTAAAAAAAACAAAACAAAAAAAAAAAAACCAACCTATTTCAGAAACTAGTATTGAAGATTCTGATACCAGTCAACCTTAGCTTAGTGCCCGTGACCACATGACATGCAGGGCCTTCTTACCTTCTAATGATACTGATTCTACATTTTCCTGATCTCGTTCAGTACTTTGTAACTCTGAGTTTGCTCATGGGAGTTTCAGTAGGTTTCTCTTCTTTTATGCACATTCATAGTTAACCCCTGCTCTGTAGAACTATAGTTTTATCTTTCCGTTAAAGTGTACATTCCTTGAGATCACTGGTAATTTGTTTATCATTGAGGGCCAACATTACAACTAGTATAGTACCTTTACGTTGTATTAAATAAATTTGAAGATACAAGTAAAAAAAAATTGTTTTTTTGGTCTTAACAATTGTGTCTCAGAGTTACTAGATGTAAGAAGAAATAACTGTATAAGCATGCTAGTATTCTTTTAGAAGAAAAGACTTATAAATTTAAAATATTAATCCTTTGGAATATAGGTATAATTTAGTGCTGACAACACAATTGTAGCTGAAGATATTAGGGAGTCTGCCTGATACTAAAGGGTTTGAGAGGGATTCAAATAGCAATCTGTGATTAAGCTAAAGAATATAACTCGTGATGTCTCTGATTGATTTTATACTTACATTAAAAAAAAAGAATAGAAGTTTTTGATGTCTCTGATTTTATACTTACACAAGACTTGACTTTTTTTCCTTATTTTTAAGTCGGAGCACCATAACATGGTGTGGGAAGTGAAGACAAATCAGATGCCTAATGCAGTACAGAAACTCCTGCTGGTAATGGACAAGAGAGCTTCAGGAATGAATGATTCATTGGAGTTGCTGCAGTGTAATGAGAATTTGCCATCCTCACCTGGATATAACTCCTGTGATGAGCACATGGAGCTTGGTAAACAAATTTAAAAATTATTTAGGAATCTCAGTAAGATTCAGATTAATTTTCACGTTTAGTCAACTCCTCTGCCTACCTTCGCCTGCTAAAAAGTACGTGATATTTTTGTACATTAGGAATTTTCAGGACTCTCTTGTTACTGCTTTTAAAATGTTAACTTAAAACCAACATATAACATTTGGTTATATAGATTCTTATTTAAAAATGATCAAATCAAGCTGCTTTACTTTGTGGGGAAAGACTGGATTGGTTTTCCAAAAGATAGTACTTTTGAAACATCCTCCCAGTGAGCTTAATAAATTATACTTGGCCATTCTTTCTGGCTGGTTTGCAGGTATGATGGGGAAATGACAGTGGACTCTTGGAATTTGAGGATTTGTGAATAACATTTGTGGTTATTGTTGTTATTGAGCTACTGCAGTTCTGTGTAACATACTCTTTTGAACTACAGCGATATGTGATATATAGAAATGTGTAGGTTTGTTCAGATACAGCTTTGAATTACACTGCTTTGAGGCCAGTGTTTAAGAGTAAATCACTTAGCTAATGAATAACTTTGGCTTATTGCCCAGCTTTTCAGCTTGGCTTTGGCCCATTTAATATGTAGTTTTACTTAATGTTTGTACGAACTCTGAGGAGTATACACGATTATCCCCGTTTTATAAACGATGAAAAGGAGATAATATTCTAGAGTGGTGTTTGGATATTTGGATGCTGGAGCCCTGGTGGTACAGTGGTTAAGTGCTCAGCCGCTAACCAAAAGTCAACAGTTCTAACCTACCAGCTTCTCTGCAGGATAAAGATGTGGTAGTCTGCCTCCATAGAGATTACAGCCTTAGAAACCCTATGGGGCAGTTCTGCTCTGTCCTGTAGGGTCGCTATGAGTGAGAATTGACTTGATGGCAATGGCTTTGGCTTTGGTTTTGGTTTGGAAATCTTGGGACATAACCTGTTTGAATGCCAAGGGTCTCCTGGACCCTACTATTCATTGAGTAGTGGTTACTGTTGAGCAAGGAACACCATTTTAATCAGGTAGTTCATTCTCCATCCTCACGTTTTAGGTTTCAGGAAGAAATCAGGAATTTAGAGCCACAGAGGGTCAAAAGCTTCATGCTCTCTCCTCTCAGTGATTTCAGTAAAAAGTAATTAATTCCTTGAACTTGAGAGACAGAAATGAACCTTTTACAATAAATAAGAAAGTGATTGTCAAAGGAAGGGTAATGGAAATGAGGGAAATAGTTACACCAGTATGAGAATTAGAGAGGCTGTCTTAAATTACTGTGGTGTTTTAGGACTGCTTTGCTGCTCTGTGAAAGTGGATATTTCTAGTCAGTTTTATAATCAGTGTTTAATTTTAGTAGGATACTCTGGGATATTTGCCTGGATAGGAATTATGTGTACTTTTTTAGGGACATTTTAGGAGAACTCGTGGGACTGGAAGAGTTTTCTTGACTTGTATGTTGAAGAGACCCAGTAGACCTATAGTTTGTAGATGTATGTTTCATAGAGGAGTTTTTTTAAAGGCTTACAAGATGCTTTTTTCTCTCTCCTTTATTTTCTGTTTCTTTTTTTTTTTTTTTTTTTAATAATTCACTTTTTTTTTTTAGAATTCGGTCTTATGGTATTTATAGCCTTGGTGTATACATGAGTGTTACATGGTAGTATTTCTAAGCTTTCTCTGGGGAAGCTGAAAGTCTGTCATGAACTGCCTTTCGAGAACACACTTAAAGTTAAAAATAACCAATAGATACTACTGAGTTCAGAATTTCTTAGTAAAAAGAAATTTAACATAAATAAGAGTTGAGTAAATAGTACCTAAAATTTTGTATGATCTGTATTCTCATCTTTGGAAATTATTATTTTCATTCTTGCAGTAATCTGTATAATGGTTTAATGTCATGTGTGAGCAATACACACACACACACACACAATGCCTTTTTCCTCATGAACGTATTAAATGTAATAGTGTCTGAGTGGTATATGGATTACTCCCAGGTGAGCTATAAAAACTGGAAAAAAACAAAAACTGAGAAAACACATACCAAACACTGTTTTTCCAATTTGTGACCAGTTGTGTTAATTACATGTTTGAGGTAGTGAAGTCATTACTGCATTTATATTTATTGGGTTTACTTTTCCATCAAGCTCTGTTGACCCTTTTATGTAAAAAGTTGAAATTTGTTTCATTCTAGAAAACATACTGAATTTAATTTTGAATTTGTGATTTTCCTTTCACAAAATTAATTAATTAAATTTGAGGACTTCCATTCCAACTGTAATTATACTATTGTTCCCTGTATTAGTAATTTTCTTTTTGTAATTTTGGGTGTTTTTATCTGCAGATGACCTTCCTGAACTTCAGGCTGTTCAAAGTGATCCTACCCAATCTGCCATATTCCAGCTAAGTTCAGATGTTTCACATCAAGAATATCCAAGACCATCTTGGAACCAAAATACCTCAGACATATCAGAAAATACTTACCGTGAAAATGAGGTGGATTGGCTAACAGAATTAGCGAATATTGCTACCAGTCCACAAAGTCCACTTATGCAGTGCTCATTTTACAACAGGTAAGAGCCTAGATTATATTCATATAAAAAACTTATTTTAAAAAAACTATTATATAATTTTTTTTCCGGTTTTAAAATAAACAGTGCTGTTAACCGTCTAATGAATGGTTTACTTATATTTTATGTTAAGCCTGAAAAGTCATTTGATTTCTAGTTCAGCTCCTTGTCTTATAATGATCATTCAATACCGTGATTTCATACTTAAAGAATTAGGTAAAGGTGATAAGAGAACTAACAGTCAAAAATATTTGTAAATGTTGTATAGTCATCAGAAAATAAATCAGACTGAGAAATACTTTTATTATACATTCCTGCTTATATGATAGAAGTGAAAATTGTATTTGTAGAACCATAATTATAATAAACATTATATATTAAACTTTTATCAACCTTGAGTTTCGTTCCTTTTGGACTAGGCTTATTTTCTTCTATAAGGTACGTGGCCTTATTTACCTGTTTGCAAATACAAAAATTTGCTATTAGTAAAATCTTGAACTTGTAAAACTGGACTCCCATTGGTAAAAACCCGTTTCATACACCCAGACTAGAATTTAAGAAAATAGTGGTTGTGCTGTGAAATTATGGAAGCTTCCAACTGATACTCATAGAGAGACCTAAATAGATAATGTTTTATGAATTATCTCTAAAATGTGAAAAAACAGAAACATGGATAAATTTAATAGTTTATAGGAGAGAGGAATGACCACATTTGCACAGATTTGGGTAGAAAGTGATACGCCATAGCCAGTACTAGGTGGTGTAGGAATAACTGTAAATTTTGGAAGTGGTCATAAGTTTGTATAATTCTTTGCTTGCTGCAGAATACACGTTTTAGGTGTAGAACTGTTTTCTTACAATCCATTAAGCTGTGCTGCTTATCTTCTACTCAGCAGGTTGTCAGTTTTGATTAAATTCAATTTGGTCACCTTCAGTTTAATTCCATGTAAAAATAAACTGCCACAGGAAAGAAAACTTCCCTTTCACAGTATTATTTCCTTTATAGCCCCAGTTTTCATTGTAATCTTAATAGTCAAAAAGCTAAAAATTTCTGTTATATTTAGGGAGTGTAGAGTATTTAGGTTAAAAAAAATTGATTTAATTATTGGATTTTTTTTTTTCATTTCTAGTTTAGAGATAATACTATTCATTTTTCACAGCAGTGTCGTGAGGGTTGATAATATAGTTCATGGAATGTTAAGTAAACTTCAGAAAAAAATAAATATAAATAACAACATAAGTAAAGGAGTATATTCTCTGCAGCATTTTCTTTGGTTTCCTAGGGAACAAGACCAAGAGTCATGCTCTGTTGTCTTGTGTGCCTTCTAACACTGTCAATGGCTGTTCACACAACTTCTCGTAGAGTATTAGACTATGTTAGTTTTTGAGCTTTGGATGTCTAAAATCGTAACTGTACGGTACCAAGGGGTTGAGGACAGGTAAAATTTATATTATCACGACATATACAGAGGAATGAGGAACTGTTGGTATTAGTGATTTTGGACCCATTTAGCTTGTTAATTTTTACAGAACATTTAGGCCAGCTAAGAACTTTCGAACGTTACTTCTGTTTTAAGTGGTCAAACAGAAGAACTGATAAAACTTATTTTCTTTTATTAGGGAAGAACTTTAGGAATTTTTGGCACTTTTTCCACTTTTCATGTTTCTTATATGTCTAAATATAATCAAAAGAAGTTGGACAAAGATGAAACATTCAGCATGTAATTTAAAATCTAAAATTGATTGGAGAGTATACCAAAACATATGGAAATTTGAGGAACTTTTTATTTAAGAAGTAATATGAAAATGGAAGCAAAGTACAGTCTCAAATCCTCATTAAAAAATAACTTCTGCAAGTGTATAATGAGAAAAACCTTAATGAGGAGAAAATAAAAATTGAGAGGCTAATAAAATTTCGGAGGAAATAAGGGAAGAATTGGAAAAGATGTCCCTCATCCCCCTTTTTAAGAGGGTTAGCACAGACATGCATAAACTTTTTTTCTGTTAAGGATCAAATCTCTGTTTGGCATCTCAGAATTTGGGACCTTTGGAAGGGTTTCCCCGCAGAGCTTGCTGTCTTCCTCTCTGCTGCTTTTCCAAACTCCAGAATTAATACACATTGCTAATCCATCCTTTATAGGCTTACTGTCACCCCTCCCGTGAATATCTGATCTTTTCATGAGGGAAGGACCTTAGTACTTTCTTTTTTTTTTTTTTTTTTATATTTTATTGTATTTCAGGTGAAGGCTTACAGAACAAAATAGTTTCTCATTTAACAGTTACTACAAATGTTGCTCTATGACAATGGTTAACAATCTCACAATACATCAACAATATCCTTACTCAATCTTGGGTTCCCTATCACCAGCTTCCTTGTCCCCTTCTGCCTTCTGGCCCTTGTCACTGGACTCCTGTACCTCGTT